GAACGAACTTTTTTTCTAATAGTCACAAACTGGGCATGCAGGCCCGTATTACATTCGGTCCTTCTAACACTCATCTTTCATACTGCGATTGTATGTTATCTCCTTTTAACACTCATCTTTCAGACTGCGATTGTATGTTTTCTTTAAAGCATGTTATGTTTATGGTATAATATACATACTATGAATATTACTGACTCACGAACAGAGGCATAATGGTGGACTGGGGCAGACGTAGTACGGTGAATTCGGTCACTGGGATGAGGGGAAGTTAAGGCTGTTGTGATGTGTAAAAGGAGATGCTCCGTACCTCACCTCAGGAGCCATCAGACACTGTGATGGTTTTGTGGATCCTCACGCAAGACTCCTTTCACACGTCCTCGTCGTGTGCTACGGGTAATGGCTCATACGGGCCTCAATCTCGGATGGTGGCTCAAGAGATGCAGTGTCCAGAAAACCTCTGACTCTCATCAGCCCACCCCAGTGCACAGGTAATATCGTCTATCAAAAACTCATTTGGAACATAAGTTAAGCCCTCTGGTCGGATTTTCTGCTACATGACAGACCGTATTCAAACATCTGTCGAGTAAAAGATCTAGTGAACTGCTGAGACTCAGTCCTAGACTAAAGTGATTTGTTCGCAGCTTAGGCAAGCAACTTCTGAGGGCATTATCTCGTGGTACAGTCCGCGTGTATACATCCTTTGTCAAACCTCAGTGTTGTCGTCACCGCGTTGAGGTAAACCATGACAAGCTGCTACTGTCAGCTGATTATGCTCAAATGTCCACCAGTAACATGTTCTACGATATGACAGCAAAATCGTAAATGTCCGACCGTCAAAAGTCTTATCAACTGACACAAAAAGGTTCAGACGTCCGTTACCATTGGCCTTGCTCGTCAGAGTATCGGAAACAGACAGGGAAAGCCATGCCCGAAGCGTGCTTTTTTCCCCCATACTATCGTGCTAAATTTCCAGATTAAATAGTGTTGAAGTCTAATGTGATAAAGAAGAATGTGCCCATCTGTGGGGCCGTTCAAGTCCCTGACCTGAAGTCTGCTACAGACTCCAGAGGGCGCAACCCGCGAAGAGTGGGTAGGTCAACACATGGATGTCAGGTTAGCCAGTCATGTGCAGAACGTGAGGATTTCTTTTGTAAGCCCAGGACCAGAGCGTTATGTGTCGGCCCCAGATGGATTCTCCAGGGGTAACACCTGTAAATAAAGGGATAGAGTGGAGACTACACAATTAAGGCCACATCATGTCACACAAAACCCAAAAGGAAAGGCAAAATCGAAAAATAAATGCCCTTTGATGACGGACGTATTGGCCAAAAGGCGCAAACATCGCATCTTTGCAACAGGCACAACGCAATAACTTCACTCGAACGAACGAAAAGAAGAAGCAGATCGGGTTAGAAGGACGGGCAGGCTTACTTTTTTGGATGTATATTAATTGAAAAAACTTCTAAAATATAGTTAACTTATTCTGTCCCCATGTGGGATGCATTTTTCGTCATTTTAAAGCCCCACTCTGGTTGTTGCCGGGGGGTCCAATATAACCTAACTATTGAACGGGATTTTTTGGGACCTCTCCACGGGTGATCCTCATCCGAGTGGTGGCACTTTGTGTCACGGGGTGTTTATCGCTCGGTGTGATGTCGTGGTGGGGGTAAAAAGTCAGTCAGGGAGTCGTAAAAGATATAAACAACTATTCCGTTTTTAAGTCTATCATGAAATAAAATGACTTGCCTTCATCGACACTGTCTTGGCTCCATCATTATTGATCGTCAACTCAGGGTGAAACCATTTCTACCCTGACCGATGACCAGAGAGGGGGGGGGGGGGAAGTATAAAGTGTCAGCATGCGAGCATTCACGGTAGATGCTTGAGCTGTTGTACATCATGAATAATTGTTTCGAGAAAAATAAAGCCGGCAGCGTCGTAACAGTTTTGTGTTTCCCAAGGTTCATGCCTTTTCTACATCCTGCGCCGTAAAGAAAAGGCTGGGCAAAACTCAGCACAGTAAGTTTATGTTTGAATACTTTTGTTATGCGATATGGTAGAAATAAAGAACACATCTTGCTAACTTTTTAACATCATCGATAATGACATGAAATAGTGTAAACTTAATATCTAGTTCACATCTATATATAATTATAATATAAAGGTGGGTGGGGCTTCTGCCTTTCTCTTTCTACTTTCTGATCTGTGACTGTCCACTGAGATTAAAATAATGATTATCCTTAATGTTCAGAAATCAGAATGTCGGAACTTTTTTCTTTTTATTCCTGACATTATCATAGAAATTGTCTCAGGTGCCTGCTTTTCCTTTTTTAATTGATTGCAAAAGTTCCTAATGTAGATTCCGGGGACCCCATTCCTGGCTATCCTCTGAATAACGGCCACATATTTTGGCCGCCACAAAAATACCCTAACAGGGCCTTAGTCACATGTAAATTGCGAACTTCCGGCGACTTATATTTAAATTGTGCACTTCCGGTGACTACCGCCACCGTCGAGAGTATCTCCCACACGGCGTGGATTGGGGCTACACTAGATGGCTGGGACTCACAAGCAGCAGCTTCCGCATCTCCTGCAGTTTTGCTGGTGAGTCCCAGCCATCTAGTTTTGCCCCAATCCATGTAGTGGCGTAGGAGATACTCTCGGCGGTGGCGGTATCGTCGCCGGAAGTCCGCAATTTACATGTGACTGAGGCCCTGTTTTTGGCCACCATAATATGTGGCCATTATTCGAAGGTTATGAGTAATCTAAATTTTGAGAACATGAACATACATCTTTTCTGCATTATGGTAGGTGAGTGGTGTGAGGTTCATTATCAGTCCAGATGAAGCGGCAGTACTGTGGTCTTTGTTAAATAATACAGTTATTAGGGCTCTCCTTCGAACTTCGTCCCCATTTTATGGCATCCAAACAAATACCCTAACAGGGCCTCATTTGTAAAATGTGGCCTTCCTCCGACGAACACATTGTGGCAAAACTAGGATTACTGTCCGTTGACAACTTCGAGAAATGCAACAATACACACGATAATAGCAACATAGCAGGGAGACAACGCGCTCTGACGCAGGTTAGCGATAGTGTTCTTCCGATTAAACTCATTGCCAAAGGTATCCCCCGCGCTTGCTATGCGCAGCGCGGATGGGGGGGGGGGATAAACTAGATAGCTGGGACTCACAAGTAGCAGCTACCACATCTCTTGCAACTTCCTCCAGCCAATTTATTTGCTCGTGAGCCCCCCCCCCCCCCCCCCCCCCCCAGGGCCCCCCCCCAAAGTGCGCCGCGCATAGCGGCACGGGGATACTGTCAGCGGTGCAGCATAGTCGCAGAAACAGGTCCGCAATTAACATATCGCTGAGACCCTGTTAGAGCATTTTGTTTGCCCTCGATAATATTGCTCAATTATTCGGCGATCCTAGTTTTGCCGCGATTTGTTCCTTGGCAGGTACTTCGTATTTTACACATGACTGAGGCCCTGCTAGGGTATTTGTTTGGCCGCCGTAATATGAGGACGAAGTTCGAAGGAGAGCCGTTATTAGTTATAAGCACATAAACATCATAATTAATGGCAGAGAAGTCTGATAGAGGACTGGAATGGAACACACACAAAAAAGTCTGGCGATCTCTGGCAAACACCCCAGGGTAGAAGAGGATCGATTGCATAAGTATGCATGGTAATTTCCACACACACACACACACACACACACAAACCAGTTCACTACCCAGATTCCACTGTTGCTGTCTTTTAAGTATCCTTTGGAAAAGATATTGTTGAAGATCATAAAGGTTATGGCATCAGAAAATATGAATATGGAACCAGATTTCTATACATATTATACCACCAGCAGCTGATTATTTCAGTGATAGAGTTTCATCTGAGAATGCTCACAATTCACATTCTAGAAAACTACCCACTGTAAATGATTGGGCATACATAAACTACTTGGAGTTAAAGTGTTTGTATCCTGAAAATAATGATTTTGGTAACCTATAGCCTGCACATGACCCCAGTTACTGAGGTCACTGTTGCTCCTTAATGTGTCGACATTGGGGGTTTTTTCCCTGCTTTACTCATGTGATAATTCATATTAGAATTTGTATGCACGTGTTGTAATAATTTGTGAAAAATTTCTTTCCAAATTAAGCTTGTAGTTTTTTTTAAACTCCTCAAGTTGTTGATACACTGTATACAGCTAAAAAGTGTTAATAAAACAGCGAAAGTCTCTCTGAGGTCCAACAAATCCTAATGTGTCCAAATACCATTATGCTGAATCAGATAAAGAGCTTAAAAATTTCTGCCCCGCTGGAAGATCTGTTGCAATGACCAGAGATCAACATTAAGTGGCCCAACATTTAAAAAAAAAATTATGCTCAGGAGCTTGCCAACTATCTTTTTTATTTACTGTTTGTATTTAATAGAGAGGTTTTTGCATTGATGTTTCAAACTGCAGAGAGCTAATTTGGTGTCGACGCTTGCAACCCTCAGTCTATGGGTGTGGCCTGTGTAATTTGTTTAAGTATAACAATTAGCTTAGCAAAAGGAAACACTTCTTCCCATAATTGATCAAGAAACCTGAATGAAAAGCCGTTGGGAATACCGATTCTGTCCAGCATATGATAAAACCAATTTCTTGAACATAAAAAAAAAAAAGGCTTCTTTTTCATGCTATGAGATGGTTTGGGTATATGGTACTTGTCCTGTATTTTGAAACCAGTAAGCACTTGATGGATAATGTGGTTAGTATCGTGCTGACCGCCTTTGCTTCCAGTGAATTTAAATTCTGATTATTTTAAACATTGGAGTAATTGCTTATCTATTAATTGAATTGTGTTTAAAACAAAATTATAATTCTTGTGTATGGACATAGATCCTAATCTGTGCTAGTTTGTGCTCTTTGGATTACTCTCTCTTGCATGATATAGGAATTGGATTGGACCATTTTCCCCCAAGCTGGCCTAACCTATAATTTTGTTTTATCCTTCAGATGAAGTTTTGGGTAGCAGCATCCTTGATCTTGGCCTCAGTCTACATTCTGCCTTCTTATGAAGAAGAAGAGTCTGGAGCCAGGTTGTTGGTCTCCAAGAACATTCTAAATCAGTATCTGGTTGAAGGGAAAGATCTGACAGTAGAATACAAAATTTTCAATGTCGGCAGCAGGTAAACATCTGTAGTTATATTTGAAATGAATCAGCTTTAATTGCCGCCAGTGTCATCAAGTGTTGATACATACACAAGATGTAGAGTTGTTGCAAAATTTTCATTCTGAAATGTAGCATACCTTGATAGATCATGGGGCTAGAAAATAGGGGAGATGAGACAGAGATTTCAGTGTTCACATCATGCTCGAAAGCTATGTTTTCACACCTGAGATAGGACAGCATATAAAAAAAAAAAAAACTGTTTTCTAATGTAAAAAATGAATCTGACACTTGTGACCGTGCAGTAGATAGGCAGACCGCCAAGCATGTTCTGTAAGATTGCCCTTGCACCTGACAAAGGTTGGGGATCTGGCCCAAGGGAGCTACATTGTAAGACAGGCTGCAGCAACCTTTAAGGCACTGTCCTGTTTGTGATCCAGACAGGATAAGATGTTTAGCAGAAGACAAAGAATAATGAAATCACTTATAGTTCTGATCTCTAGAGTTGTGAGATTTAATAGTTTTCTCAGATAGTTAGGAAAAAACCTGACGTCTGATGCACAAGCTGTGTTGCAGTATTTCATGGCAGTTAGAAATCTCAAAGAGCAGATCATTAGGTGGCTTCCTGACCAAATAACCTGTCTAGAGGTAGAGCCCCTTGCCTTGGATGGTATCTATCTCAAAGAAATGAACTTCACACAAACATATACCAAAGTTGAGCTTGTTGACCTCCAAGTTAGAGATTAAACTCCCCTTGAACAATGGATTCATAAAGAATAAAGACGTACAGGATTTTTTTTAATATATATATAAAAAGGTTAGCAAAATGTTTTCATTCATTACATACAGAACATTGTTGGCCACATATTTTCAGTTTAAAATCAAAATAGGTTATGAGAAAGAACACAAAAAGCCAGTTCAGGCATTTTACAAAAAGACATACTAGAACTCTGTGTGACCTTAGACATACAGTTTTTGCATTCATCGTGGACTTTTTATAGAATATTATTGATTATATTGCAGGTTTGCTTAAACTTTAATAATCTACATCTGGTGAACTTTTAAAATGCAGTTCTTTTATTTCAGGGTGGCATTTGATGTGGTTCTAAATGACAACACGTTTCCAGAATCATCATTCAGTGTTGTCAGCGGTAATCTCAAAGTGACTTGGGAGAGGATAGCTCCGTATCCTTTAGTTTTTACTTGTTGCATTTGGAAAAACCAGTATCAGGAGTTAAAAACAGGAAGGAGCAGGTGGTTAAATAACCGGTTCCTTGCTTCAGTTTCATATTTGGAATAATGTTTTATCTCACAGCAATGAAAGGTTAGTTAGTCAGCCGGTCATCCTCACTGCCCATTACACCATTCAGTTCCTAAATGCTTGGATCCCCTCCTTAGGAAATCCCCCAGTGAGTAGTAGATGATAACACAAGTTCTGTGTTGGTTTATTATTATTCAACTTTGGTTTCCTGCATGCTGCTGTTGTTTGGCCGTACCCCTTTTGACTTGCTATTGTCGCAGTCTGGTTATGGATGCATATTCACAGTCACTGAGAGATTCATGCAAATGCCTTATTTCTTATAGAGAATTCAGTACATCACCCTGGTCCATTGCTCGTCTGCCACCATGGCAACCCTGTCTGCAAGATTTCAGCTTATTTATTTTTGCTTGTACCTACATGGCTTGGCACAAAATTGTAACCAATCTTTGTTGGCCATGACCGACCAGCACAGAGATTCCAGTCACTGACTTCACAATCTTTATAAGGCACCAGAAGATTTCCTTTTGTCCCGTTGTGCCATTATTTGTCTCATTCACTGTACTAGCCTTTGTATGTGACATGGGGTTCACAATGTATTTCTCCTGCCCTGTGCAGTCACCTCCATAGGAAAGTGAAGGTTCATTCATTCATTCATTCACTCATTCATTCATTCATTGTCCTGTTGGGCTATTGTGTGTGATATGTGGTTCACAGTGTATTTCTCCATTTTGTTTTATCCTGTGCTCATCTCCCATAGGACAGTGAAGGTTCCTTCTTGTTCTGTTGTACCATTGTATGTCACATGGTGCTCACAGTCTGTTTCTCCATTTTGCTCTGTCCTAATGCAGTCACTTTGATTGGAAAGTGAAGTTGGTCAGCATATTTACTACAGCACTAATCAAGTGCTGATTAGTTTAAACAAGTTGGGCTAGTACTATACTTCTTCTTCTTCATTCGTTTGCTTTAAATAGATTATCTATATCTACAGTGGTGTCTGTAGTGTGAACTTCACTGTCTGTTGTAAATAAATCAGCGACCTGTAAAGTTTGGCATGCATCTATGTTTTTCTTGGCTGTAGTTTTGTCTTGATATGTATTTGGGACAGTCTTGGAGGACATCATCTGTTGTCTCAGGTTCTAATGGCTGATGATTCGCCAATCTTAAATTTTGTATACATGTCTGCAAAGTCGATTATGTCCTGCTCTAAGGCGTAGAATAATGACCATACTTATAAAAGAGCATTTTAAAAGCGAGAGCATCATCTTTTGTCATGCCGGGGTTTATCCCATGTGGCTCTTTCTCACTGTCTTAGAGCAGCTGGCCCCGACAAGAGCACTGCACAAAACACGAAGTCTGTAGCCACAGCAATGGCACTCGGTGATCTACAAAGCTCCTGCACTGCAAATGAACCATAGGATGGAGTCAGTAGTCGAACCTACAACCACAGAGACGCCCAATATGCACCTCATGCTAATTAAAAAGGGGATATTACTTTATTTCTCTACCATTTAAATACACATACAGTATTTTTTGTGTATAGGCGACAGTATTTGAACTGAAAATCTTTGATTAAAAATAAAGTGTGGTTTATATTCGAAATATCAGCCTACATGTCACTTGTACACAGTTTATTAATAAACATTACACTGTTTTGAAATGTGCCTTATGAAAATAATAACGGTAATTGATGCCATTGTTGTCTGCCACTGAGGTTTTTTGTGCCATAAAGGGTTCTTTATTAATATCCTAGCCCAGATGACATCACAGGACAGTCCAACATTTTAGAGGGTGGTAAGACTGGGTTTCCCGGCTTTCTGATGCTTTTAACAACTACAAAACATCTAGAACTGGCTCTAACCCCAACCCACTTACATCCCACGAGAGAGTGCAGCCTAGGTTCCACGAATGCATGCAGCCTATCTACCACCCCCTGAAATATTAGACTGTCCTGTGACCTGTGGATTTCCCCTGTTTGGGGTGTGATAATAATAAAGCACCACATAAAGTGCCTTGCCCAGCCAAAACTGGCTTTAAATTCATTCTAAGAATTCCCCATGATGTCTGATAATCGATGCACTTAAAACTGTAACATTTCCACTTATCTTCACATATTTATTTTCATCCACATAAAATTTCCTCCCAGCTGCTCGGTTTCCATTTTTTTTGCACTACTTGCAAACTTACATGTACAACTGTAACTTGCTCTTAGATAGCCCATCTTTCACTGCTTACAGGCGTTACTGTTTCTGGTTTGTTCTGTTGGCAACATTCTAAACAACATGTACAACTGTAACTTGCTTTTAGATAGCCCATCTTTCGCTGCTTACAGGCGCTACTGTTTCTGGTTTGTTCTGTCGGCAACATTCTAAGAACATGATTTTTTTTCCTAGAATTCTCTTCTCAGAAGTGGGCTGTGGGCAGCATATACTATACATATGATGATGCATAGATCAGAATATATTTCTTGAGGGTCTAGGCTAGTATAGTTTGTGTTAAGTATTGGATTGTTATATAACTGAAGCATACCAACACTTGAACATTTCTTAACCAACCAACAGTAACTCAAATGTAACTCATGCTGTGATTCTAAGACCACTGAAGCCAGGGTATTATAATTTCACAGCTGCCGAAATCAGTTATGTTGTATCTGAGGATTCCAATGAAAGAACAGTAAGTGTTGCTAGTCAATGCAGCGTGTACATCATTGTTTTGTCTCTTAAATTGTTATTATGTTCAAGCATTGTGCATTTGGTTGTATGCTGATGAAGGCTTTGTAGCCACAGCATTCATTTTGTCATTTATGATTGTGTTTTGAAGGGAATATGGTAGTTATGGGTGACTTATCCTCATTCTACTGTGGACAAGCCCCTTGATGCTCCAATCTTCACTGTAACAAATTTGTTTGTGTAGTGGCTACTTGTGTGTTCTGTGCTTTTTTCTATTTCTGCGTATTGTTTGTATATTGGGTGTGCCAGTTAACACTTAGATTCTCATATTCTAGACAGTTGTTTTCCTTGGGAATGTCTTTATGTAGTTTACTGAAGAAGATATTTTCAGTCAGTCACTAGTCATATACACTCCATGACCTGCCCTGCGGAGTTGAAATTGTTTTAGAATTTTGCTGATGCTGGACCGGCCAGCTCTGTTAAAGACAACAGTATCAGGCATCTTTACTTAACATTTGATGTTCAGCAGCTTTCCTGGACATACAAGCTCTCCATTTAACATGCTGTATAGCAGGGCATACACCTAGCCATGTCCCACCCGGAGATGTCATATTTCTACTAGAACTGAGTGATAGAAGCTTTGCATGTAGCAGCATCATAGTTGAAAATGCCCTTTGTTAAACACTGCATGCATACCAGATTAGCAGCATGTTTTATGTCTTACTTAGTTGATCCTGTTCTATTTTAGGGTGTAGAAGTTTGCCATAGAGATTTCCAGACTTCTCTGTCAGCAGTTTTAATTTGGGCTTTGTTGCATTTAATTTCAGTCCTCTTTCATTCCCTTGTCTTCCCAGGGAACCCTGACTCCTGGTTCTTGTCCTCCCATGTCTGCCTTGGTGGCCAATTCTGTCCCATTATGCATGCATGTTCAGACCATCGTAACTGACTGATTCACTCAGACTTGTAAGACTTGGTCCACCTTTCTCAGATACCCCATTTCTGAGGTCTGAAGCAGGCTTCTGTGAGCTGTTGTCATTGTCAGACTGGCATATAGGTAGAGTTGTGTTCAGCCATTTTAGTCCTCTTGCTAATTTCTCTTTTCTTTTTCTTCATCGTCTTCACGTTCACCGGCTTTAAACTCCGGCGGAAAGTTATGGTTGTTCGTCCACTTCTGGACTCTAGCCCTGTTCCAGAAACTGAGTGCTGCCTGTACATTTGTTTGAAATCCTCAGTTAATGTTGTTTTATGTTACCTTTACATATATTAACCTTGCTTTAAAAAAAATTGTAATTTTACAGTTGCGGACTCTGCCTGTTTTAAGTGAATTAACTCAAGTAATAAAAAGGTTTATGGGGTGAGCTGCATCCTATAGCGAAGGATAAAACAACTTGGCGTGAGTTGGTTGAGGGCCTATGTTCAATGAGCGGGTAAAAAGGCAGAAGAAGAAGAAGGTATATTGCTGTTCTGTCGGGGCACAGGTCAGGGTTTCAAATCCACATTGATGCAGATTTTTTTAAAGTTGACCTTGGCTTCCAGCTTGACTCAACCTAAAATAAGTACGATGTAATATCCTGGGAAGTAAAGGTGGCTCACGTGTTGACCACAACACCTCCTGAGTAGCCTTTGGTTCATAGAAATATAGGTCTTGCCTTTTTTTTTTTTTGCTAGATGTCCTTTAAACTTCTTTAAAGATATATTCTGATTATCTTGCCAGATTGGATATACTAGTTACCCTGGTGAAGGAGGCATTGTTCCCCAGAAAGATTTCGACCGCAGGTTTTCTCCTCATGTGGTAAGATATCCTTTATTTCCAAATTCCATTTCACTTCTGAGTTTGGCTAATATTCTTGATGATGATGTGTTAAATATTTTTTAAAAATCTAGACTGTTTAAAAGCTATATTAAAAAAAAAAAATTATGTGACATACCCCATGTGCAAACATGATGACAGAAGGGATTCAGAGATCAATGATATTACAACTTTTGAGTCAGAACATATTTAGAAAAGTATGCTGAAGGCAGTGACATCATTAAAGATAGTTATAAATGTAGATCAGAGCCATAGCTTTAATCTTAGAATTCCTTGGACAGCTTAAAAGAGCAACCCGGATTTTGTTAAAGAGGCTCAAAGAAAACCTTTTTCAGTTATCACCCCCCCCCCCCTCAAAAAGTCATCATTTTTTGGTCATGTTTTGAGAATTAAACTGAAACATGTCGCCATTGGAAAGACCTGTGGAATGAGACAGAGAAAGACAGTATGAGAAGATTCTTGACAGCCTTTTGTCACACCATGGAGTGGTGTCAACACAGGAACTGATACAGGTAGATAGCAGATTGTTGGGAGGCATGATCGGCACGGAACTTTGTGATGGTACAGAGATGGTCATTTTTATCTAATGGTTTCCCCCCGTGTGGGTTCTTGGGCCCCATTTTGGGGAAAACAAGAACAGACCAGCTGCCTTCCCAACAAGCATCGTGAGAGCCGACTAATTGGGGATTTCCTTCAAAGTCTTCTTCTTCACTTCCTCTTTTACCGCTGTGAGTGTCGAGGGAGATATAAGGTTCTGTCTCTAGCTCTTCTGGCCACCTCGACCATAGGCACATCGTGCTGTTGTAGAGTATCTCTGATGTTATCCTTCCATCTTGTTCTACCTCATGCTCTACGTCCTTCTCTTTTCATGTATGCTTTGTATGGTATGGTGTCACAAGGCATTCTCTCTAAGTGGGCAAACCATTTCACTTGCTGTCTTCGTATGTAATTTAGAATTGGTTCTGTGCCGACTTTTTCTCTTATGATCTCATTCCTGATCTTATCTCTTATGGTCACTCCCACAGCCCTTCTCGGACATCTAATTTTCTTTTATGGTTTGTTGTGAGTGACCATGTCTGGCACTGGTAGCACAGAATTGGAATAAATATGCTTTAAATAAGTTGTCTTATGTCCAGAAGTACATGAACAACCAGAACTTTCCCCAGAGTTTACAACTGTTGAACGCAGAGAAGAAGATATGATAGTTTTATATTAATATTCTTTTATGTTGACTATTGTACGTACAATTATAGCTTTCTATTAATTGTTATTTCTCCACCCTCCACGACAGTTGGACTGGCTGGTGTTTGCTTTCATGACACTGCCTTCACTGGGGATTCCATTCCTACTGTGGTACAGCTCCAAGAGTAAATATGACCAGCCAAAGCCCAAGAAAAATTAAGCATCATTTAGTTCACTGTTGTAGAAGTGTATTCATTTTCACCCACCTGCCATTTCAGGATTAGCTATGTGCACAATTGTTTATTCTCTGACATGCATAACATCAAAGATTTCTTTTCTGGCAGCATGAGATAGTGTGACTGTTGTGTGCTTTCTTTCTTCTTTTTTTAAATTTGTTTTTGAAAATGTTTTTTTTTTATAATTATTTTGAATCAAAACAATTTCTGTCAAAAACAAAAAATAATTGTGAATAAACAGTTTTTAACTTGTTTGTATTCCGTCTTTGCTTATGTTAATGTTAGCTTAACAGTGTGATAATAGATGCACTAAAACAAAAAATGAATTTCACCCACAAGCATCATATGGAATAAATAATAGTGAGTATCTGCTAATGTGGCTTGCATGACAACACGTCGGAAGATTAATTTTTGTATGTTCTACTGAAATGATAATAAATGAGAATAACTCACTGGGAAATCTGCACTGGCTGTTAACAAATTAACTTTGGCTTCCAAATCAACCAGTCCTTTAATGGGCATCAAGAAATGTCCCGGGAAGTATATGTGGCCAACACAGTGTTGACCACATATCCTATTGAGAACTAATTTGTCTGTAAAAAAACAACTACTGATATGTGACTGTGAAAAGGGTCCCTTGTCTTCCCTCTAAATGTTCCAGGAGGAACATGCCACCATTATTCTACCACTTCAAAGCAATCCAGGTGTTCTTTAAATCTAATGTTATTACCCTGGAAATACTGTATACTGACAAACATCACTGCCACAATCAGTGAATTAAGCAAAGCAGTAAATAATTTGTCCAAGCAACACACAAAAATTGCTTTGACCCTTTCACCCCAACCCCTAGAAAAGATAGGCAACCATATTTTTTTTTCATGCACCGCCAAAAAAAAAAAGCATATAAAATCAATTTATCATTAAAAACATAAAAATACTATATACAGTTTAAAGAGTACATCAAAATGAATGCTTAATTGGATCTCTTGGCGCCTGTAATCTAATTATAGGTGACACTCCCTTGACCCGCTTAGCAGACATCATCATCAAGCATGACAATAGAGATAATTGCTGCTTCCAGAGCACTAGCATGGGTAACCCCTTCATGAGTTTTTTAGCCAGTTTCCAACCTCATTGACTTTCCTAGTCACTGTTTCCCCCTTCGTTGAGCGTCTTAGTCGTTTCCTCTTTAGATGAGCTTTCTAGTTATTGTTTCCCTTTCCACTGAGTTTTCTACTCGTTTCCCCCTTTATTGTGCTTCCTAGTCATTGTTTAATGAATTCACTTTGCTATACTACCTCGCATGCAGCCAGTCGTTTTCACACAAAAACTACCCAAATGTGACTATATTTATCGAAGGGATACCCTGCCAACCAGAATCCACAGCCTAATTAATAATTTTCTGAATCCATGAACGACTACTGGCATCTCTACACAAGCCACATTATCTTATGTCTGTATGTAACATTAGTCATTCTGCTGCAGCAATAGTAAGTTCAGGAATGTACAGGTAAGTCTAAAACAGTAACCTATTTACTGTCAGTCACAAGAAATATCTGAGCTATAAGATTATAAAATTGAACATTTGATGCCATCATCTTCTTTTGTTGTCTCACAGATACCAGGTGTTAGCCCAGTGTTGTGGTTTTCTGTATTTGTCTTGTGCTTCTCGGGTGACGGATTTGTTAATTGTTTTGCAGGTTTCAGGTACACCATTTATCCAGTTCTTTCTTGGTCTCCCTCCCAGATGTTCTGCTGTAAAAGTCTCATATGCACTCTGGTCTGGTATAATGCAGAAACATTTTCAAACTTTCTCTCTAGTCCTGGTATTCATAACCCTGTCTCTCCTTGTGTTAGTAACCTTGTGGATTCATTATTTCTTGTGTAGTAGCAATCAATAACACCACTGCCGGCTTATTAATCCCGTTGCCATCAATGTCAACAGACAACAGAATAAACCTTATGGCTTTCTTCCTCGTTTATATTACAGAATAACACAGAACTGATCCTGCAAGACTAACTAAAGGGCACCAGTGAAGACTTTACACTATCCTGTTTGTGATCCATGCTGGAATAGACACACAGAACCCAATCTAAATTCACGAAAACAAAATTTAATCTTTCAGAAAATATATAGTCAAGGCATTTTCTTTAGTCCTTTGCCCTACAAAGGGGCTTGCAACCTTTTAAACAGTTAAAAAAAATGGCAAACAGGAAGGAATAGATTTATGAACTCAATTACTATTGAATATGTAGCTAGAATGCTTTTGAATGGCATAAATTCAAATATTTAAATTTCCTGCCTCTGGAGGATATAACCACCTGTTAAAGAACTATTTAATCTATTGGTAAAATTATCATGTGTCCTGCCACATGAAGTAGGCACTCTTGGTGTTCTGGTTCAATTCCACTGATTATATTCCCCCAAGTCACTGCTTAAATTTATCAAACATCAGTGTTGTCCAGTGCCTCTCTTCTCATCACATAACCAAAGAACATTAATAGTTCTTTGTTATAGTTGTATAGTTTTTAATTTCATTGTCCATTTCCAGATAGCTGTCAATTAATCTGGGAGTCCACAGTATTTTACATGTGACTCAGGAACCACATCTCCACTCATGCATCTCAGAAACCACATCTCCACGCTCTTTATTTGTTCAATCACACTGACACCCATACAGCAACTCTGGTTTTATAAAACATTTAAATCCCTTTTGTTTTTTAAAACGTCCAACGGTAAGAGACTTTTTGCATAAAAATAATGTTCATTTAAAAAAAAATGCCACAACTGCTCTTAAACTAATCGCACATCTCCCACCAGATGTGAATGTCCGGAAACATTGGAACTTTTTACCTGTGTAAACACTTCCCCTTCTATTGTAACATTATAATTCAGAGCTTCTTTTTGATGCTGTTATAACCATTATTTATGTTGTCTTGTTATTTAAGGGGAGCCATTTTTTGGTACTCTCCATTACTACAATGTCCAACCGTTGCTGCAAATCTTGTGTTTTTTCACCAATATTACTGTATCATCTGCATTTTATAACTGCCAACGCTCACTCCTGGTCTATCTTTGACCACTCATTAATATTTTGCTACAAAGAAAGAATAAATTTAGAAAAAAAGCACATTAAAAAAAAGCGGACTAAAGATTAAACTGCAAGCCAATTTAATTAAATTTTAATACATTTAGCAGCAATAAAATCATTACAATCACTAGAAGGCATATACAAAACAATAACTTGCAATAAAACAAAATTTAATCTGTGGTCATGAGTAATTACTACTCATGAACACATAATGCTTGCTGACAGATTCTACAGAAGAAGAAAAAAAATAAAGTGAAATGCATAACAAGAAGTACAGCAAATGATTTCACATTTTATATACATTATAATATATAAAAATCTTTAATTTACATTCTGTCAGCTAAAAAAAAGCACCAGAATTTCTCCTGCATCACAACTGCTTTGGACACTCAATACATTCAACAATCCCTCCCCCCAACACACGGATATCATCCAGAATTGATTCTTTCTGCAGCTCCAAGTTGATGACTTCATTTTCACAAACAATAGGTTTACGGTAAGGGAAAAGAGAAATCTGAAATATACAATAGTACAAAATAGCATAAACAAACAAAGCAGATGCAAATCTAGAGAGTACAATGTACCAAATGTGGTTTACATATGGTGAAAGCCCAAAAATATACTTCCCTGCTCCATGTACTGTCATTACAAATCTAGATACATTTGTGTATGTACAAGCCACAGTAATGAGATATAAGGTGTTCTGCTCACTGAATGAGCCAGACCAAGAATTAATGATACAGTTCAGTAAAGCCAAAGCAGCTAACGTAATATGCACCCTTTCACCTGCCTTATCTTACCAATGAGCTACAACACCACAGTGTGATTATTTTTGGCAAGAGAAGCGGTAGTTACAGGAACATGCACTCCTGCTGGACAATGTAGAAAATCTGAAAATCATCTATGAACGCTGAGGAAAGAAAGATGAAATAACATGCAAATCTAGAATGGAGTGTAGAACCAGTAAGATAGGACGTATGATATGCGTACTGTTAGAAATTAGCTATGGAAGGCAGAACATCTATGGATTTGCCCCGTGCTATTATAGATTCTTAAGTCAGTAAACACAGTGATTATTCCATATGGTTACAAAAACAACTGTCTGAGTAAAATCCCCCAGTTTAGTCATATACATTCTCTTTTAGTAAAACCTCCCTTCAAGATGAGTCATACATCTGACTGGTTAGCACTGTAGGCAAAAGAAAATAAAGATTGCAAGGAAAGGAGCTTGTGATCCTACCCCATACACACAGAAGGCAAACAATGTACACCCATGTGCTTTACCTCCCATAGTATTATGAATTGATTTGAAAGCAGGTTTAAAACAATTCTGATTAAGTGATGAATCTTACCTTGAAGTCTTTCTTTTCTGTTGCCTGAGCCTTCCACACCATTCCTATCACATTCCCTCCGAAAGGGTCATGGAAAAACATTGCAACATCTCCAAAGATACTCTGCAAATAGCAGCAAACAAAAACTGTTATCTTCAATATTTGTAGAAGAAAAGATGGGCAGTTGGAGAAATAAACAACATACAGAAAACTACATCATTCTACTGTATGGTGGACAAACCCAGTTGATGAAAAAGTAACTAGAAAATTTAACTAAGTCTATGGACTTGTGAATATACAGAAGAATAGGTCGTAATTCATGAAAATAAAAAACAAATCAAATACAGATTCTGAAAAGATACAGAATAAGAAGAGAAATTCTGAAAGAAATTGAAGAAAAGAAAAAAAAAGACGAGATATTTCAGCCACACTGAAAGAAATAACACTATTAAAAGATCAAACCGCAGGGAAAGGGGCAAGAGGTATTCAATGATACATGTGGTGAACATTAACAGCAGTCGAGACAGTGTACTACCAGAACAAAAGTTGTTTGGAGATCCATTGCAGCCAACCTGTGGAAACGGCACCTGGCTGAAGAACAGCTGCAAATATATTTTATAAGTAGTGAAAATACTAGACTGCCATTTCATTTAATTTGAAGACTTGTATTAAGCTAGAACCAACATCCTTCATGATCTGAGCACTAAGGAGAATTGGTCCATAAACAGAATCCAGTCCTGATAGCTAGGGTATTTTGACTATGTTAAATGTCACGGTGGCCTGGAGTGTTGTTTCTGGATTACAAGGAAGAGGCAGGCCACAGTGAATGAGGATACAAGACACTGACGATGCACTCATGGCTGAAGAAATGGCCAAAGAGAGACTATCAGATGAGAGCCATGTTCTGTAAATGACTTGCTGACTGATGATGATGAAGCTAGATACTGACCTGCTGACCACAAGACCTAAGTTTCAAACCTGCACCGGGCAGATCTGAAGAATAAAAAAATGGACCTTGGCTCTCAGATCAACCTAGCCTAAAATGGGCACCAGAAAATGTCCTGTTAAGAAAAATAATCCAACGTGAAATCGGTGGCATGAAAAGGGTCCTCTATGCTAAGCCTGGTAATTGCCCAGACATACATGACATTAATGCTCCATTGTTGGATGATTTGTTTTAAGTTTTTTTAAAAGTCTGCTAGGGAAGTGGCCTGTTACGGTGCATTTTTCATTACATCCGACCGTAAAGGGATCTTAAGCAGCATACCAACACTGTCTTCTTCATCCATCCAAAAACACCTTTTAATTAAGTAAAAGTAAATAAGAATCAGAAAAAAAGTGCTAAAATGGATAAGAAAGAAAGACAAAGTTAAAAACCAAAAGAAGTGAGGAGAAAATGACATTAATAAATTCACAGCATAGCAAAACTGCATGACAGAGGCCTAAGACATCAGCTGATGAAGATATATTAGAGACCCATCTGCACAGAATCATGGATTTGTTTTTTACCTGAAGATCGTGAAAATATTTCCTGGCAACATTGAACTCAATGACCGGAAGAGGCTGACCGTCTGCAAGGCTCTTCTCCTCAACACATGCTGGGACTTCATGCGGTCCATCTACTGACTGGTGAGCAAGCACATTTGCTTTCTTCAGCAAGCGTATCACTAAGTCATAGTGCTCCAAAGGTGGTCGAAATATCAACTGTAAAAGTTCAACACATGATTTTTATGCTCAGTTCATGCATTAACACATTACATGTACACAAGAGAATAACTTTCTATAAAGGGAAAACTTGGCGGTCTGGGTTAAATAAATGCCAAAATTTCATAGCATGCGCAGATGTTACTTTGCAATGAACAACAAACATATGGTTGCCTGTGTGCTGTCTGCTTTAAAATAAAATAATACATTCAAAGAAATTAAAATAGAAATAATTATCTTTGACATGATGTAACGAGATAGATTTGGAATCCCACCTAAGACTTCACCTACCCAGCCCACTGGCGTCAGCTCTGTTTTAAACTAGGCTGCAGAATTCACATGTGAATGTCTCATTAATTTAAAACTGTCATTTTGAAAGCCAATATTTTCATGTCTCACTTGCAGACACCTTCGAATCATAAATTTTAATATCTTTTTCATGCTGCCATAAATAAATATTTTGTGAACTTCAAAAACAAAACATAAATATATTTTTGGCCATTCTTATTTTCATTTACAATTAATAAACAAGCCAAATTATTTCTTGAGGTTCATGCAATGTAGTTTTACAGAAGAATACTTAAAATTCCTTAGATAGCAAAATTTAGAAGGGACTCAAGAGACAACCTATTATAAATATCTGAAAGAGACATCATCTTTTTGTGCACCATGCTGTGGCAATGGAAGATTTGTGGCAAAAAGACAACAAGAAAAGAACCATGACAGCTTTTTGTCACGGCAATAAAGGATGCTTAGAATTTATACATGCTGTGGGGGACTGCAAGCTGTGGAGGGGCATGATCCCCCACACCAGTCAGTAAGACACTTGATAATACTGATTTTTATACATGTATAATTTTTTGTACTTGCCACCAAGTGTTGATAGAGTGACCGTTTTCATTAGAATTTGTGATCTCAGTTTTATGTAATATACATACCTTGAAGTCTGAAGACAAATAGTCTGTCATGATTTGGGATTCAAGAATCTTCAGAGACTCTCGGGCCAACAGGATCAATCTCTGTAAATGGGACTCTGAAGGTGTTGGCTTGGTCCACTTTGTGCCAGTTTTATCTTGTGGAGTTGCAATACACATACTGGGTAATGTAGCCCGATTTTTCATGAAATCCTTGGGGATGCTTGTCAAATCCTCTTCTGAAAATTAAAAAAAAAAAGAAAAAAAAAATCTTTAAAATAATATTATATTTTGGCTGTAGGTGTAATTAATCAAAATTTCAATCAAATGCAATGAGTAAGTCACTGTTACATGTTAACTTTATAATGTGGCAGGTAGAACTTCTGTAGCACACGTTACCTCTTTATGTGTTAAGTGCCAAAACCTCCTCGGTAAATGATTACACAAACAACTGGGATTTGAGCTACTGTTTACCAAACACATAGAATGTGCAGGTTAAGATATGTATTTTTGCCCCAGACAGGAAAAACCTCAATTACCCTACCGAGGATTCAATCTGGGTCTCCTACAAATGCAGCAACATGTCAATAATAAGTAATTTGTACGATTATGCTGTGTTTCGTCCCAATAAAAAGACTGATGCACGATTATAGACAGACTCTTCCTGTACTGTTGATGTTGTTGACGGTTATTAGTGTTAATTGTTAGGCACTCTCCGGTAGGGAACCCAATAAGTTGTCTGATAGTCAACCTGGGAACTTTTGCATGTATAGGTGAAGCATAATCATTCACCTCTAGACACTTGGCAAGTAGGCTGTGCCTTACAAGCATTTGCTTTACATCAAGTGTGTTTTCACAGATAAATGGCAGCATCTGCTATGACACAGTCTTTGTCTTGTTATCGTTACTCTGACCTGAGCGCCACTAGGATAATTAGTAAGTAAAAATTGGTCTAAAAACTTGCTTAGCAAGTGTACTTCCTTTACTTAGTCAATCCTCTTTTAACCTGGAGTGTAGGGGTTTGCCAGAGAGACTTCTCTATTAGCATTTTTTGTAAGCTTTGCTCGATTCTAGTCATCTGTCCCACAGAGATAGTCGGATGTTGTCTTCCCAGTAAATCCTGGAGGTCTGGTTCCCTAGTTCCTGGCCTCTCATGGTAACCGATTCTCTCCCATCTTGGACACATGTCCAAACCATTGTAGTTGATTTATCCACACCATTGTAGTTGATTTATCCACTCAGGTTTTAAGGATTGGCTTTCAAGATCATGAAATGTCTAGTTGCAAACTTTGTCCCTTCTCATCACTTGGATCACCTCATTTCTGAAACCTGAAGCTGGTTTCTCCCTGCCTATGACTCACACCTGTAGGTCAGGACTGGCACACAGGTAAAGCCGTAGACAGCCTCTTGACAATTTCCCCTTTTCTGGGATTCTTAATTAGTGTAACAAAGGCAACACTTTTCAAAACAAAATAAAAATTACCGGAAAACTCCTTGTTGAGATTCACCATCAGTGGATTAGCCTTCCAGTTAAATGTCACAAAGAAGTGCAGAAACCTCATCAAGCCAACACTTGGATCACTGTATAAACAAATATAAATACAGAAAGTATAAGTGCCTCTGCAGAGGTTGCTCTCATTCGCACACAAAAACTCAAAACCTTCGTATGGCCTGCACCACACTACTCAAAAAAATACCAGATTGTCACCATGGCATGCTTCAATACAGCATTCCTCCCCTCCCAATGTGTACATAAGGCAAGCAGTAAAACCTATACTAAAATGCTACAAGCCCAATAATTGTGTTTATTTTCTTGAATCTGAACATGCAAAACTTACAAAAGTTGTCAGCCCAAACAAAAGCTGATCGCAACCAGATATTCTAAAGAACAGCAATACAGAGTAGGTCCCACAATTACTTCAAAATCAGAACAAAATGCATCCAAGAAGGACACCAAATAGAACAGAATGAAACACTGAAGCATAGGTGCCAGAACTTAGGGAAGACACCTCAACCCTCCTCCCCCTACTTTTCTAAGAGGGAGGGGGGGCTGTGCTCAAGCCTGTAATAACTGTTATTATTATGCAATTAAACAAGACCTGAGGCCCCCTGAAATTATTGGAGACCTTTAATTTAACGAGGGCCCCCCCCCAATATTTTCATGGTGGCAGCATGCCTGCACTGAAGTTACATGTGTTGGTAGAAAGGTATGCACACTGCCGTTTCAATGTGTGATCTACTTTCAGGACGAAAAAGCAGCAGCCACCTTCATTTATTACCAACTCACAGAACCTGTCTCTGAAGCAGATAAAAGTACTGCCTCATAGTTACTGGTGAAATAATCAGTGACAAAATACACCTTTGTGTAACACCTCTTTTCCTCTGCTGTGTTCACCCTTAAAAGGGTGGTTGGTATGTTGCCATATCTGCACCATTCGGACTAACACCCAATTTCAGAATAGCTTTACGAAGCGGTTTTTTTAATGGGACTATTTTTTAGTGGATCTAACCCCCTCATCAATATCGGGCCTTGGAGCGCAGACTGGGAGCACATCTATTAATTGCCATGAATTGACTTAACTTTCGTCTGTCTCTATGCAGTTTCATGCTCTCAATATATACTGCCCACTATTGTTAAATTTTTGCCACTGATACTGAGTTATTCACAATGTCAAAACATGTGCTGATGTTTCACTTCGATAACTACCAACTTCCAATCACTAGCAAAATAATTAGTGATTACACTGGATTTATCTTCAGTAAATAAGTTTACAAGATCAGCAGATTTGTGAATACTTACGCAGGTGCAGTATAAGGATGAGGGAAAATAAACAGGTAAGCAACAATTAACTCAACAGCTTCTTCTCGAAGAAGACTCCACACCATCTGTGATGCAATCCAGCGTTTACACAGTCGAACAGTGGCACTATATGCTGGGTGTTCTTGCTGTAATCTGTGGAATTTTAAGATACACTCTTAAAAATTAAGCAAAACACAATCCAAGAAGTGATGGCAGATGAAAGACAGAGAAAGGTAAAGTAACTTCCAGGCAAATACGTCTGCAAGGGTGTGTAGCAGGGGGTCCTCTCCACTTATACTAAGTCAATGAAATGCGTGGGATACCCCATAATCTGGTCACAATATCCCTTACTTTTGCAGCACCCTTAACGGCATTACCAATTAAATAATGCAAACACAAAAAATACATTGCACAATTTTTATAAAATATGGCTGGCAATAAATAGTGCAATGTGTTGTTTGTGTCCATATTATTTGAATTAATAACAGGAACACACTGCTTTAAGTACTGCCACTGTTTAAGAGGGAGCCACAGTTGTGTAGACACTCATCTGCAAATCGGAAGGTAGTGGGTTTGCAGGTCCTGGCGGTATCCATGTCGACCCAACTTTGAAAGGTTACCAGGCAGGGTCCTGGGAAGTAAAGATGGCCGGGGTTATGCTAACCACATCACCTACCAAGTGCTGATTGGTCTATAAAATATAGGTCAAGCCTTATATGCCCAATACATCTGGAAGCATGGAAAAAGGTCCTTTACTTATCACTTCCCAGTTTCAAACAACAAACATTAACATATGAAAAGATAAGTCATGCTGCACAGTATGGGCTTCTTGTAAATTAGCGATTAGAAAGGATTTTCATCACAGCACTCCGGACAGATCAATAGGTGCTCCGATCTCCCCCTCAAAAGCTCCACAAGCGTAAAATGACTGAGTGTAAAACGACAGATGACGCCTGTTCTGTGTTGGTTAAGGAAACATCTTGTCCCCTTAGTGAAATGCTCATTTCTTGCAGCTCCAGGCTGCACCCCCATGTCCATCAATCTAGACAGAGATACAGTCATGTCCTTTGGCGTGCTCCTCGGTAAGGTAAGTGCAGCGCATGGCATTAATAACATCACTTCTGTCCAGTACTGGGCCAGCCATAGCAACCGCAGTGTCAGCAAGATAGCCTGCACGCTCATTCCCTTGAACACCCGCATGCCCTGGCATGACCCGTAAGTTGTTTAATTAAACGAAGGCATTTTCAAAAAGATATACTCACCCATGCAATAAGCTTGTGAGATGTGGGAGCGCTATAATTTCCTTCTCCAGGGCAACAGATTCCTCCGTTTCTCTGAACTTAATCATTCCACTGTCTGTCACCACAGTTCTTAGCACGGCCAGCTCTCTGGTATTGGCGATCTTTAAGCGGAACACAAACCCATCCTAGAAAAACAAACCCATACCATCATCACCACCATACTTTTACGATATTATGTCCCATACATCCACTGAACACAAAGAATATAACTAGAATGTCTTTGTACTGGAACTCACAGGAGCACAGAAATAAAGGAAGACCAAAAACACATGGGAAAGGAGCTAGAGATTAAAATTAAAAAGACAAGGAGAACATGGAGAGAGCTGCATGCAATAGCGAAGGATAGAGCGACTTGGCATGAGTTCACTGAGGGCCTATGATCCTCTGGTGATTAGAAAGGCAGAAGAAGAAGATGTTCACAATCTTTTCTCTGATCTGTCACATCCTGGCAATATCACAGATAGAACCCAGTCCAGCATCTCTCACCTGTGTTAATTTTACGGCTTTTCTCTTGGTTATCTCTTTCCCTCATTCCATTTCTTTCCATTTGAGTGCTTTTCAATGGTTTTGTCACAATCAAGGCAAGTCAGCAATTTGCAGTATATCACTTGCATGTATCATCGTATAACACTCAAGTCGAAACATAAAAGCCCAGATGCCACTGGATCAATAACAAAGTTGCAGTTTTCATCATCTTTGCTTTCTTGTTTTCTGCTATGTCTAGGACCCAAAGTTATGAATGAACCCCCATGCAAGACAGATATACATCAAATCAACACAAAAGTTATGACTGAATTGTACAAGGCAGACTGATACACATCCACTGAAGTTATGACTGACCCACATAAGACAGACTGATACACATCCAATGAACACCAAAATTATGACTGAATTGTACAAGGCAGACTGATACACATCCACTGAAGTTATGATTAAGCCAAATAAAGACAGACTGATACACATCCAATGAACACAGAAGCTATGACTGACCCATACAAGACAGACTGATACACATCCAAAGAAAACCGAAGCTATTACTGACCTATAAAAGACAGACTGATTCCCATCCACTGAAAACTGAAGGTATAACTGACCCATACAAGACAGACTGATACACATCCACTGAACTTATGACTAAGCCAAACAAAGACAGACTGATATCTAATGAACACCGAAGTTATGACTGACCCACATAAGACAGACTGATACACATCCACTGAACACTGAAGTTATGACTGAACCATACAAGACAGACTGATACACATCTACTGAACACTGAAGTTATGACTAAGCCAAACAAAGACAGACTGATACAAATCCAATGAACACCAAAGTTATGACTGAGCCAAACAAAGACAGATTGATACACATCCAATGAACACCAAAGTTATGACTGAGCCAAACAAAGACAGATTGATACACATCCAATGAACACCGAAGTTATGGCTGAGCCAAACAAAGACAGACTGATAAACATCTAATAACCACTTAAAAGTTTTTTTAAAAAAAACAACACCCCCACACAATCAAATACCTTGAGAACATCCACATAAGTTTTGTGAACACTGACTGGCAACAAATGCTTCTCATGGAGCTCCTTGCCCATCTTGACATGAAATAAGGCCTTGAGACACTTGATAGCTTCCGCTTCTTCTGGCCACTTACCAGAACTCTCCAGCATGCACATTACTGTGAGGAGATACCATTGTCAGTTTTCATTTGATCCTGGATTACATGGGCATATTTGGTTTGTTCTTATCTACTTCCACAAACCTTAGTTCACTTGAGTTTTATTTTAATTGTGACGTTTAAATTTTAAAAAATTAAATAAAAGAAAGGGTTGCTTTCATGGTAATTCACCCTCCCTCCGGTTAGAAATGTTTTTTTAAATAATTATTTTATTTTCAGCGGCTGAACAGCAAAACACAGTGTTGGTTAGTGAAAGCACCATCTTCTGTTCCTGAAAATAATTCAGAATTGGTAAAGACGATAACATGTACTGGACTGGTATTGTTATAAATTTTTCACCAATTGTTCTCATTCAAAAATTAAGAAAAATAAAAGGATATTGAATGCAGAAGCTTTATCATGTAATTCAAACAGTAACTCAAAATTTCTCCAATTTCAATAAGAGATAAACATCCCTGTGTGGTTCCGAGGCCCCATTTTTCGAAAAGTGAGAACAGATCCACTGCCTTCCCCGCAAGCATATTATAAGAGGCCCAATTTTAGGGAAAATGAGAACAGACCCACTGCCTTCCCAGCAAGCATGTTATAATAGTCAGCTTATTGGGAGGGGGGGGGGGGGGGAGGGCCTTCCTTCAAAGTCGTAGTACATCTGCCGGGTAGGCAAGAAACCAACAGTCTGCATACAACTATGTCAGATCGGTAAAGCGGATGTACACACACTATTAAGGTTCTGGACCAGGGCTAAAGTCTAGAGGTGGACGAACAGCCTGAACTTCCTGCTAGTGAAGATGAATACGAAGGATTATAGATAAGATATACCCTATGCCATAGCACACTTCCATAAAAGTGGGATAATGAGAATTTCTTTGAATTACTCATGCAAAGTGAAGAGAAGCTCATTTGACATTAACTGAGGTCGCTGTCACCTAATAATGTTTATGATTATATTCTACGCATGTTAATTCAAAACTCTCAGTCGTCTGCAAAAGTGCCCACACATAATGTGCACAGAAGAATTTTTAACTGTTAGAACGGATAATGCTTTTAAATAAGCCTCCCAATATCAAAATGCAATGAAAACAGTAACATTTTAAAAAGGGAAATTAGAGTAGCCTCAAAGAACCCCCAGTGCTTGTGAATAATTGATTCTCATTTATACGGCCATGGCTGAACATAACTGAACAAAATAATCACACAGCTAGCACAGGAAAGATGAAGCCCATGCATGTTTTCTCGATCAGGTAATTAAAGCTGATTTAGCATTTTTGTTCCATTTAGGAACTTGCCACAGTGGATTTTTATTACAGCACCTACAAAAGGAGCAGTATTGGGTATCAAGGTACCAATATGAAATAATCGTCATCCCTTTGTGGGATGCAATTTTTCGTTATTTTGAAGCCGCACCCTGGCTCTTGCCAGGGACGGCAATATAGCCGGGTCATAAATATGGCTTAATGACTGAATGCAGTTTCCGAGACATCTCCACGGGTGATACCACATGGTGGCACTTTGTGTCATCAGGTGTTTTATCGCTTGTGTGATGTCCTAGTGGAGTAAAATTTACTACTAATACTATCATGGTACCTGGTCCTCTTAAATATACATTCACCAATAATGTATTTAACATGCTGAAACTGAAGACCACATTAAATTGAAAATGCACTAAATATAAATAATACCAGCTAACATCAAACACACCTGTCATGGCAGGAACAAACTGTGGTAGTGACTTTCCCTCCTTTGGAACAACATGCCCAGAGACAACACTGATGTCATCTGCACCCACAGGTGCAGGCAAAGCAGGAAATACCTGATGATTCATTGGAAAAGGTACAATTCATATTAAGTCAGTCTTAGAACAATGTTGTATTATGTAAATTTACATGACGATTGAGATTTTTCCATTTGAAAATAATTGATCCAATAATGTCATTGTCATAATACAATGTTTAAAAAAAAAATTTAGGGAAGAGGGAGAGAATGGATCTACTTCATTGTTTGATATCTGTTCATGATACCAGACAGAAAAAAAAAACAGAGGCAAAACAGAAGTGATGATGGAGGGGGGTGTAAATGAATATAATTAAAAAGAAATCACCAGCCGCCAAGGCACAAGGTGTAAAAAATAAAATCAATGTCTCAGACGCAAGATTAATGGCGATTTGTCTGGCAGCCAGGCAAGGAAATTAAATGTCTGCTAGCAGATACTGATCCAATTATGAGTGGTTATAAGACCCCAACAAAGTTGCCAATATATAGGACAGACTGAGGAGAAGCGGGCAGATAATCATCAAACAGTGAAATAGTAAACAAATGGACTACGATTTTCCAATTATTATAAGTGCATAACTCTTGCTTAAGCCTCCAACTCTTCCTTACACCATGCTAACATATCTGATACAGAATATCCTTGATTTTGACATACACAACATATACTTCAGCATACTACACATATTTACAAATAAGTCAGTGTAACACTTTCAACTTACATCAGAATGCCTGAAGACAGGGTGGATCCCCTGGATAGAATGAATGCTCAGAGGGAGAGAAGTTAACGCTCTCAATGCCCTGTTGACCTGGTCATAGGCCCTGATGACAGCCAAACTCTGCTCTTCTCCTGTGCCATAAATAAGGTTTTCATTCTTTGAAGCCAGGTTCAGGTGCAACAAACTGTCCAGCTTGCCTGCCATATAATGAACACTTCTTCTGGGTACTCCACAGTGTCTACATTTAAGAGAATCATAAAGTTGCCAGTTACTACTTTTATGCAAAAGGTAATTTATCTTTCACAAAAATTGCTCATATTTGTGAAAAATTATTAAAAATTTCAACACAACAAAATGAAGTATAACATTAAAGAGACATGAGCAAATTATAACATTAAAGAGACACTGTATTGTACAAACTGAGCAAATTGTAACATTAAAGAGACACTATGGTACAAACTGAGCAAATTGTAACATTAAAGAGACACTGTATGGTACAAACTGAGCAAATTATAACATTAAAGAGACACTGTATGGTACAAACTGAGCAAATTATAACATTAAAAAGACACTGTACGGTACAAACTGAACAAATTATAACATTAAAAAGACACTGTATGATACAAACTGAGCAAATTATAACATTAAAGAGACACTGTATGGTACAAACCGAGCAAAAGACACGCACTGCTTCATCTACTAAGTCCCAGACAGCCGGTTGGAGTATGATGATACAATACTAAATCTCAACCAGTCTACATGTGTGCTACAGACATTGACAAGCCTCTAAGGAGACAGGAAGCCCTTGCTGGTTTCAAGGATTAAAGAGGAAGGTGAGCTCTGCAAAACAGCCCCCAATGGAGGCAATACTTCGCCACCAAGGGGTTAAATCAACCCCACAAAGCTTGTAAATAATTTTTGGGGTTTGAGAAACCTGAACTACTGTGATTGTATTTATATGAAAACTACTAAAAGTTAGTTTAAAAAAAAAAAAACACACAAAAGTTCCAAAGCAATGTCTAAAAACAAAATGTTACTGAAGTGAAAACATACTGTACTACATATACAATAATGAAAATTAAGAGTAAAGTGCATAAGTCAGAAACAAGCAATGAAAGACTACCAATAACAAACTACAGATTCCATTTTCAATCATATGACACCACTGTAATGTGTTCAGTTAAGAATTGATATCATAGCATTCAGGAAATTCCCATAAGCACCCCATCCTCATCTTCAGCAGCCAGAGTTTCAATTCCAAGGGTACCAGTAGCAGGGAGTGTGTATTTCCATCTCGTTCCTCCCTTGAGTGTTAAGTAGTAGCCAGATCTCCCCGGTTACTTCCCGTTGAACCATAACTGCCTGTCACCAAGAAAAGCAACAAACATACAAACTCTATAACAAACTTCACCTTTCAAGAACAAACTTGACAATTTTTTTGCACACCAAACGCCTGTCACTCTGGCATGGAGATGACGTCCACAGAACTGCTTCATGAATTGTACCATCTTTAAAACGACGAGGCTCGGACTTCTCGCCCCAGAACTCACGAAATTCTTTGGCCTGAAATTATTAATTAGCTATTTACAACGTTATAACTACTAGCTAAATGACTGCACGTAAGGAATATATACATTTTTTTAAATATTAAAAACATTTGCCTCAACCAAAACATACTGCGAGCAGTTAAAAAAAAAAACCTGGAATTTAGGAAGGCAATCAAAATACCAGTTCTGTAACCATTGGTCAGAGTTAATATCTCAACCAGAAATATATCTCATCATCATCATGCCGTGCCAGTTAGCATAGGCTGTCATGTCACACGATCACCAGAGTCAGCGATCAGGTCATATGTTTTTGTCTCACCACTTTCATGTTGTCTTGCTATCCAGGTATTTATCTCTTTGCCTTCCTCTGGTTCTCTTTCCACTATTTATGCAAGTTGTTACTAAGTTCTTGAGTCCACTCTTTCTTATAACATGCCTACATTCAACAACAAAAAACCTGAATGTCTACATCTGACTGTTGTAATCAGTGTATAATTTCATCGGTTAGTTTGACGTTTTTCTCCTCAAACCCCGCCCATATACACTTCTGATTGGTTGTTCTTGAGCTCTGTGACTTTTGCACAAGGTTACTTGGGAGTTCAGGAATGCTGCCAATATTACGTGTTGTATATTTCAGCTCGCCAGCGCTTTTAACACTACAAAAACATGGAGAAACTGGGTCTAACACAACCCCCAAGAGAGTGCTGCAACCTATGTCACAGGCGTTTTCTTTCACAGAATGAAAATGTAAATGCAAGACATCGCAGAAACCAAACAACAGAGAGGGACACACCTGTAACCTTTAGGAAAGTCAACTAGCCCAACAAACTTGTGAATGAAAAGTGACCTACTCTATTTGTGGAGACTAATGTAGAACTAACCATTTCATCTATCTCGAGGAGGACAGCATCATTTGTTTTTTTTTAAATATTATTCTGTGATACTTACAATCTTCTAAAAAAAAAAAAAAACCGAGTAAATATTTTTCAGTTTGCCGGTTTATCTTCAATTTCTCTAAAATATGTAACAGGTTTTGTATTGTACTTTATCTCTTCTGCATCTTGCTAAAGGCCACCTTTGCCCTGGTAATTCTTGCTTTAGTTTCTGCAAGGCATCTTGCATCAGATGATAAGACTGTTCAAAGATAGTAGTAGCTATCAAACTGCTTAAGAATGTTACCATCAGCCCGGATTTTACACCACGGTATTTCTTCAAGTCTTGGTGATGAACATGATAATAACTCTACACATAGCTGCTTGCTGCCCAAGGGTGTCCTGCAGGCTAGCGGAGGAAAATAGGCACTTTACTTCTCCTTTGATAGAGGATGCCCCTTCTCTGCTATCCACATTTAAACAACTAAAAAATATTTAATCAGAATAGCTTTCTTCAGGTAGATTAAGGGCTGATGACTCTACCAAGCCTCCAGTCTCACCTTTATTTTGTGGGGTTTTTCTTTCTTATGTAGCTGAAGTAGTCTTTTTTTCCCCCACAGAGTTCAAGAAGGTTGCTTAGTATATATACGTAGTGTATCACCATTTGTCATTATTCATAGAGGTACAAAGGCCCAAATATCGACACCATTGCACAGGTTGTATCCTATATGGCTCAGGTTCTCTCTCGGATTGATTGCAAAGTTGCCTGAGTGTTGCAAAAAGAATGATTTTCCCAACTCTAGCAATGATTCCCAGATGTCTATGTAAAAATGACACTCAAGTGTGCAGTTAGTGAAATGAACCCATGACTTTCAGAGTGTCAGGCAAACAGCAGCTAGACCGTTAAGTCATAGACCCCCGCCCCCTCTCCATATCTAATGTCATGTGCAACATGTGTATGTGTTATGCAGCATAGATGATTGATTGATCAATGTAGATTTGAGCAATTCACCATTAATAATATCACAAAGATCAGGTGCCTTGCTGACTGGCATGGGCGATCATGCCTCTCCACAATCTAGCTTAGGCGAGTTAGTTAGTGAGACAGCTAACTTATAAATTACCTCAAAACTCTACGACATGGCCAACGGCAGGTAAGAGGCGCCATAACCTCTCCCCCCTGCTGCCTTGCAGGGTAAGTCTCTTAAGACAAAGGCTTTTAGAGTCAAACCATATACAAACCGGCGTAAGTCAAGGGGAAACCACTGCTGTATTATCCCTAGTAAATCATGCCTCAAAATTAAAAATTATACCATTCACATTACACCAGAAGTTATAATACATGACACCCTCGTATAGCAGGTCAACTGCAATATGTCCTCATCATGGCATGCCAAAAATCGAATTCCTTGACAACTTCGTCCAGTTTGTCCCACTGGTTGACCTTTGACTCTTATTCTAAGAAATATACCTCGATAAAAAGTTTCCAAACCATCGTGTCAAATATGGCCAAAATATTTCAGTTTCTGAGAAACGATACTATCTACAAAAGAATCCCTGACACTCAGATCCTGAAGGATGCCAGTGTTTTCCCACTTTTTGGTTCATAGAATCTTCCTGTAATATCCCAGTTCAAAAGTCCTGATTTTTCTTTAAAGTGATTTTAAACAAGTCCATAATTTACATCCGTATGGTGCACCCAAGAAAAATAATGCATGTTCCTAGAATATTCTCTTCAAGTTGTTTGCTGATAACAAGACATAATATTAACAAAACAAAGCAAACACTAGAAGTCATCTTGTTCAAGAACAATACCTCAGGGTTCCCAGGATTTCCTAGGGGTCCTTTATCTAAAATATTGAAAGCACATGTTGCATCCAGTACCAGGCCGAAGGTCAAATGGTTTTCTTCATTAAAGCTGTATGGTTCATCTGAAATATTCCACTATGGAAAAACAAAAAGAATAATCAGTAACATGAAATCAGAAATTCTTGTCTGTCTTAGACAAACAAGAATCTACAACATGAACATTCAGAAGTTATCCACATCTGTTGCTAACCACCAGCATTGTGCTCAATCAGGTGATAATACTACAATAAAGGTTGGCTCAATGGAAATGCAACATTCTTGTTAGAGGAAATTAAAAATAGAAAATATTTTTGCCACATTAAAAGATGTAATGGTCAAGTAAGTAAAGCTGCTACCCCAGCTCCATTGAAAGACAATACCCTTATAAAAACCATTCTGGAGGGAAACGTTGAAGGCAAGCGATCATCAACAGATAGACAAACAGCCCTCTCCTCTCAGAGAGGTCACAGCCAGTACAAAAGACTTCTGTACTGGCTGTGACCTCTCCGAGAGGAGACGGCTGTTTGTCTATCTGTTGATGCAATCGCTTGCCTTCAACGTTTCCCTCCAGAATGGTTTTTATAAGGGTATTGTCTTTCAATGGAGCTGGGGTAGCAGCTTTACTTACTTGACCATTACATCTTTTAATGTGGCAAAAGTATTTTCTATATTTAAATTCCTCTAACAAATGTCTTTTAATTCTCAGTTCTTTCAGAACCTGTATTTAAATGTTTTGTTTGTGTCTGTATGAAACTTTCTTTTCTTCTATAAATGCACATCCATAGACTCAATTCGACATTTGAACAGATTTTTAATTGATTAGCTCTCTACCCCACAAAGCAGGGTTGAGTGCACACGAAGTTAAACACTGCTAGAATGTTTGCCCAACAGGAATAACACACAACATACATTTTACAAAAATTAAGTTACTTTTTTAAAGGAATCTTGCTGCAAACTATAAATCAATCCAGTATCTCAGATTTTCACGCATGTTTTTCTTCTGCTTGCGTCCCTAAAAAGGTGGTTGGCGTGTTGTGGTTTACAGCTAGACTATAAAAGCTGCCCCCTTTTTTTACCAACACATCTTACTTCAAGAAATCCTTAATTAGTTTCTTGCTACAATATTCTTGCTAAAGAGTAGTTGGTCTCTTCTATATTCCCCGAAAAGACGGGGCCCCTGAACCCACATAGGAAATCTTCTGCGAGTCCATACCTAGAATACATATTTAAAAATCAGTTTTAACTTGTGACATTACCTGATGCACGATCACTGGCTGAGAAAACTTAGGTACATTTATAATCAACAAATGAGAGTAACAATAAAGAGCCACAGTAGCACAGTGTACCCAATAATGGCTTGCTGGCCCTTGTATGAATCCACACTAAAGCAAACTTTCAAAATCATCCTAGGCTCCCAATCTAAACATGCACACATGTTCTGGAAAGTAAGGGCAGCTGGCCTGATACTGCTACATCATTTAACGAGCAACCTAACCCTTCTGGTGGCTGCTTTGTGCTTTTACTTCTGGTTTTTGCTCTTCTGCCCGCTTCAACCCATTGTGCTGTTAGATAGATTCTCTGATGTTATCTTTCCATATTTCTAGGTCTACCCCTTGCTCTACATCCCTCTCTTATTTTTGTGTATGCCTTGTATGGTATGATGTCATAAGGTATTCTTTCTAAGTGGGCAAACCATTTTTCTTGCTGTCTTTGTATGTAATTTAGAAATGGTTTTTCTTTTATATTTTGTTGTTAGTGACAATGTCTGGCAGTGAATTCTTATAATCAGTTGTTTTTTTCTTATTTGTCCAACTGCTTATACCATAAAGTGTCACAGAGGAGTTAGATGTAATTCTCTGTTTACTGTTTGTGTTGGTTGCATAGTTTATGTTAGAGTCATATTGCATTTCTGTTGTGTCTTTTACTCCTTCCACCCATCTGATTCTTCGTAAACCTCTTGCCTTGTAGCATGCTGTTCTCATATAGTGGTGGGCCGATTTTTGTTCCATTCTGACCAAATGACAAAACCATATGATTCTTATTTGCTAAATGAAATCACTTACCGGTACCGTACCTGGTGTTCTTAGTTTCTTGGTTGTTCATTGGTGACTGTTAAGCTTTTATTTTTTTTAAAGGACTGTCTATGTCTGGCACTACAGCACAAAATTGGTATAAATAGCATATTTATCAGCTGCTTTTTTTTGCACACTTAAAACTGCAGGTAAAAACATAGTGATGAACAACAACAACAACAAAAATACTTTCATTCTGTCAAACATACCTTCCTTGACACAGACAGCAATGGCTGAACTAGACAGATTCTTCTGTCTAAAGCCTTTGACAACTGTATCTGAATGTGCTGGGAAAGTAAAATATTGAGGTGCCCACCAAGGTCCATCTCCTTCTGTGAAGAATCTACCACTTTTTTTGAGGCTGCTTCAATCAGTTCTGATGTCAGGTTTATACTGAAATGAAAGTTATTGTCCTTGATCAAATTGCAAGCAATTTAAAAAATAATAATAATAATTATCTTGAACATTTGCTGTAAAACCTTTTTAATTATGATTTAATTATTTGAAAACCAAAATACCTAGTTAGCTTTGGGCCTTGTTTATTAAAAGGATTTGCTTTGCATTAAAGACTTCAGCTGAAAGGTAATGGTGAATGAGGCTTGAACCACTGGCAACTAACAATATCACATTTCCCTGATCTTTTGGGTAATGAGATCAGATATCTAGCATTCAGAAATGAGGATAACATGCAGAACTTCTGGTTAGCAAGCTCTGTACATAACAAATTATAATACAGTTGGAAAATACGAATATATTAGGCAGCAATGTTCTTTACTGGTGAAATATGTGAATGCAAACATCCCAGAGGGCACAGCATGTCATCTCTGATGGAATCTGTAAGCCTCACACAAATGTATGCTGAAGTTGAGTACAATGACTTCTACAGTGCACAACATAAGTGATGCACTCTTCTAGAAAAATAAACGGCTGAGAAAAAGATACTGTCGTGATGTTTATACTAACAGTGATAAAGAAAATAATAAAAACTACAATCTGGACAAAAATGCAATTAACCACTGAGAAACATTTACTGCCTTCTGCCAAAATCCTTTAAAAACATTAAGATGCTCTTTAACTGGTGCTAGCATAAAAAAGAGAGTTAAATGGTATGCTATAATAACTTATGTAGAGCTTGGAGAACTAAACAAATGCTAGTGAATTAAAAAGTAAGAAAGAGATACTGGCACTGGATTAAACCTGATAACACAATAACTAGAATGTCCTTGCACTTGAACCCACAGTGTAAAAGGAAAAGACAAACTGAAAAACTCATGGAGAAGGAAATTAAACAATGAAGTGAAAAAGATGGGCAGGACATGAGAAGAGCTACACAGAATAGCAAAAGATAGGACTTAGCTTGAGTAGGCTGAAGACCTATGCTTCATAAGAGAACAAGGGAAAGAAGGCAGGCCTCATATTTTTTAAGCATAGTGTGCGTAATTTGTACACAATGGAATACTGCAGTTCACTCGAGTAAACTGATGTTTATGACTAATACAACACATTTGTCTGAAAACTGAGAAACAAGACACTCACTGAAATATATGATCAAAACTTCGTGCAAATGACAAATGAGTCATGAATAGAACATCAAAGCAGTTATGGTGACTGTGGTCCAGAGCTTTGATGGCCAAACCTGCTTCATGTTTTACCTGAGAGAATAAACAAAATAATAAAATAGAAATAAAATACATGTCTAATCTGGCTTACTATTTTGAGCTGTGGCAAGTTTTTGCTTTTAACAATAGCTGGGTTATACCCCCCCCCCCCCCCCCCCCCGTATATAGACTGAAAGGATATAGTTTCGTCGCCCAGCTACTCAGTTGAGTAACATGGCGCTATACAGTGAGCTGCGGATTTCATTTATAATACAGACTGTGGCCAATGTGATTAATCATGTGCGCAACTATCGATATGTTGAAACTGCTGCTTGCATTGATGATGAACTGCATTTCTAGACTGTTTGTGTTAACACTTATAATGGCTGCCTTATGACTTTGATGCATGTGTATACTACTGAATAGACTGAAACTGCAGTTTGTGCCAATTTTTCCACAAATGACTCTCAGAGTGGTTTTTGTTGGCACAGGAACTAATCAACAATGGGGTGACCTGTTTATCTGATCAAAAACACTGCTAGAAACAAGTTGAATCAAAATGGGCTTTATATTTTCATTGAACTAAGAAAAAAGATCATTGTTATGCTGTTCTGGAATATTGGGTTTACGCTGCAAGATCAATACATTTTTTAAAATTAACCAAAAATTCTTTTGACTAAACAGCTTTCAACAGATTGTTTTGTTGGTTTAAATGCCTTACACATCAGAAATAAGACCGAGCAGAGTCTCAAGCCACATAGCTATGACTTGTTAAGTCCTTAATTAGTCACCTTCTACATCATGCTTGTCATGGATCTATTGGGCTTTCTCCAAAGAAATTGAGTTAGTCCTGGAATCAAAATGGGGATGATTATTTTTTGAAATCAATACTCTTTGGCCAACCAGCCTCATCAAAACTGGAATCAGATAATCTTCTGGAAACTGGAAATGAATGGCAATGGGAAAAAGAAGGGACAAATCCCAGCTGCTTATGTTATATTTCTGATATGAATGCCAAAAAGTAGGAATAGACCAGAGTGGTGCCCTGATATATCTTCCCAGGATTTGCACTAAAATGAACATGTAATAAGGCACACTTTAACACATCAGTCACAATATGGTCATTATAATTAATCTAAATTCAGATTGCCAACAGTGGTTTCACAGTGTTCCCCCCCCCCCCTCACAACACTTGACCTGTCAACTTCCTGCCATTTCCAACACCTGATAACCACACATACACCACCAGGAAAGACCAGGAAGAGAATGGGTCCAGTCTCCCCTTTTATACCCTAGCTCAAATTTAAAGGCCTAAAACTCTACAGCCCAACAACATCTGCTACAGGACTAGCTTAGAGTGGCACTTTGATACATTTCCCTGCACATACACCGCATTCAGCACTTGTGGCTACGACATTGCAAATATGCTTCATAATTCTGCAGTGCTGGGTTTATTCCGAGCTGCAGGCGATTTGGCAGATCGCTTTGCACTGTTTTCAACAGTGGTAGCTAAAGCCAACCATTCACTAGCAAAGGCAAACCACTGAACATAAAAATGTCTAGCTAAATCACAAAATGCTGAAGATGGCTCTGCAACATTCTGTAAAGGACATGCTACTAACATTTTAGACACAAAAAGTAACACACAGTCCTGTCCTGCACATTTTAGCATATACGACATATCCTACCCTAGCGAAGAATGTTGGTGTCATCATGTAGGCAATGTTGAAATAGCCGGTACGGTCGACAAAGACTGACTGTCCAACATCTCTGAACTCATCAACAGCTGGCTGTGATCTGTCCTGCTTGCCTTCATACAGACTTGGAGCTTCTGAGGTCCAGTCTGCCTTTGCTGAAATGATCCAATCGATACCAATTTGTAAAGAGATAAAGAGAAATGTAGAGTCAATAATAATTTTAAACAAAAAAATACACATTCAGGCATCCAGGTTTCCATATGAGCAATGATGATATGAATGGAAATCTCTGGACTGCCAGTGAAAGAAAACAAGACAACTCACAACCACATCACACTTAACAAAATTTTCTACCACAGACAGACAATATATTTAAATACTTAGGAAGGAGGAATGATGGTTAAAAAAAAAAAAAAAAAATCAAATTTAGACCACAACGAAATAACAGTCCAAAATATATAGGACCCTTTACAACACCTTCAGATGTACTGGGTATACAGTGCTAGACATACTTGAGCATTTATCAAGAACAGGCTCTTTGAAATTACCACGTATCACGAAATAAAATTTCAAACAAATAAAAGTATTTCTTGTTTTTTCAAATATTAAATGCCCAGTGCATAAGGTGATAGCTCATCATACTCGGATACACAACACTGACATGTCTTGCTCAATAATGCACACATCATATTTGATCAGCAGATTATAAGCAACAGTACAACTTAATATTACTGCAAATAACTACATCACTTCAACAAAAAGATTTGCTGATGAAGAGATAACATAAAATTAACATTACACAAAATAAAAAATGCGCAACATAAATATTACAGAAGACTTAAAATATTAAAACAAGCAGCAATGACAAATTACAAGGAACACTTACACAAGCTGAGCAATGTGGTTCTGAAAACTTGATAGCAGTTCATGATTTTGTTTAGTTTTTTGGTCATGAGCAGGTAAACAACATAGGCGGTAATCAGGCAGCTTGAAAAGGCTCCAAACCCCTAGGAAGGAAATAATTATTTACAACTGTATACTATTTACAAAAGCTCTGACTATTCCATTAGATAAATAAAGATAATAAAGGTCTATGCAGACATTGAAAACAATAACACAGTGTAGAGAATGTCCCCATTCTCGTCTGCTGGCTGATGTCATATTCATTGGAGAAAATACCTTTTACCCATTTTAAATGCCCATGATTATGGTAATGTCACACCTAGTGACTAACATCATCATTTGGCCAGAACTCAAGAGGAGAAGAGATTTTAAAAAATCCGTTTTTAAAAGGACCATTTCTCATGCCTTTAGGTGTATTGGGCTTTTAGCGCAAGACTAATAATTCCAGACCAATCAGCATTTTGGTGAGTGATGTGGTCAACGGGCGTTTATCCGCCACAGCATGGAAACTCCCAGAAGTGATTAGGGAGACATTTCACATGCACAGTATAAAACATAATCAATCTCCCTACTATGGTTATCTTACTTGAACCAGTTTGCATAACTCAAGGCATGTTTAACATTTCATGCTAGCTTCATGCATTTTATTGGTTAACTGACAGACAAACATTAAATGTTGTGATCTATATCTCACAGTTCACTTTCACTTTATAGAAAATTCCCTTGTACCCTCTATAGAGATACAAATGCCCGACTACCTGCTAGCATTCTAGCTACTGGGCTACAGCTCCCCCCACCCCCCAATGAACACAACTAAAAATTAAGTAGATAGTCTTTTGTCCACAGTTTAATTAAAAGAAATACACCAACTTAGCAAAAATGTGTTTCAAATCATCACTACCATCTCTGTGTGGGTTTCAGTTCCCAACTATGTATGTTGTACAAGCAAGCCAACTAATTAGGGGCTTTTCCTTCAAAGTCCTTCTGCGAGCAGCCAAATGTCTGCTCACACAGAAATAAGCCAGATCTGTAAAAGGGATGTGCATGGAAATCTCAAGTTCTGGAACAAGACTGAAATCTAGAAGTGGACAAACAACCAGAACTTCCTGCCAGTTTATAGCAGCTGAACGCGAACAACATCATCATCAATTCGTGCCATTTTATTTCACACAGGGTTGGCAGTCCATTCCTCCATTTTGCTCTGTGTTTCAAATGAAGTGCTCAATAACAACTCAAATGCTTCTTATCTTAATAAACTGTACAGACAATATAGAAAAATCACCTGTGACAACTCTCTCTGTCGCAGCCACACCTTCAGAAGTTTGATGCCTTGACTCAATCCTTCTGCCCCTTTCAACATTTTCTCAATGAAAGAATCATTAGTTGACATACACAGATCGTGTAGAATATTGGAGTTATAAAATGGTGTTGCAGGCAGCAAGGAATCTACAAAATAAAGAATAGAAACAAATTTACAAGACAAGTCTGATAAGAAGTTCTAGCTGTTATTATAATTTAACAAATGGTACTCGAATAAAAACACACAAAAGTAATCTACCTTTAGTTTAACTTGAGAAATGTGAAACGGCCCTTACCGACCTATTTTTTATGGCAGGAAGAGATCTCAGCCTACTGATTGAGGACTGTATAGTTGCCATGGTTACAAGGAACTGTACATGTTCAGATATTTAGTATTTCCTGACAGAAAACATTCCACGGCTGTACCAAGGATTCAAACTGAATAACAGACAGTCCTAATTTTTCAGCCAAATGCTTCTCAAAAAGTAAAATCAGTTAAACGGCAAGCATTTTTCAAATATCTTTAAGCAAAAACTAACATCTTAATAAATATCTAGACAATAGAATTACCTGACAATATCAAAAAATGAATATGAACACTAAAAGAACACTGTTCAACACAGTATTCTTACCAACGCTATGCTATCAATGTCAAACATGGACACTGTCTTCAGAAGACAGAAGGAAAATAGTCATGACATAAATGAAATGGTTACGTACTGTGCTAGGTGTAACGAGAAAAGATTGACTCAGGAAAGATGATATCAGGAGCAGAGCCAGCACAAAACCAATAATGAACTTTATAGGTAGACAATAAATCAAATAGTTTGGCCATGTAACAAGAAGACTGGCATCACACAGGGCACCACAGACAGCAATGCCATACAGATACAGAAGTAACAGAACAGAGGTCAACCACGCAGAATATGGACCGCAAAAATATCAGACTGAAAAGTACTTTACACAAAGTGAACAGAGGAGAAGAGCCAGAGATCACTTCCTGTCCTGATGCCGCAAGACATTCCAGGAGTGGAGAAAAAAAAAAAAAAGAATATCAAAACTGAAATGATTTAAAAAAGAATAAATCTGTTTGAAGCATTACTTTAACACTCTAAGTTATAATTACCTACAACTGCCTATCCAACTTCAGTTACAAACTGAAGCATAAATTTGCTTTACAAACTAACTGTCTGAAGTGTAAACTTCTCAACACTATATATATCTTTGAGAATTTAAAACTGGCTACAAAAGATATTTTGTCGCTGAATGGGTAGATTAAAGACCTACCATCTTCCTCATCAAACTCGGCACCAGATCCTGCTTTACCAAGGAACCATTTTGGACGGACATTGTTCCTGGAAACATGAAAACGGGACAGCCTGAATGTATCTGTCTCAGGCACAGCATGCAAGCACAGCTGAACACTTTTTGAATCGGATCCTTGTAGAGAAGACACAATACTTCAACAATGTTATCAAATTATACAGTACAACGATTATAACAATTATTAATTTTGATTGCTTCCCTTACAAACTTCACGCCAAGGAAGTTATTAATTGCACTCATTCAGCTTGAGTGATTCTTTGTCGAAACATATATGTTGGGTCTAAAACGTGCTCTAAAAAATACTTTGTAGGGCTAAGAGTTTAAAATAAACTCGGGGTGACTGGACTAATAAGAGCTACATTAAAGACAAGTTTTCAGCAAGGCAATATGAGATCATAAAAAAATACATCTTAAGTTGGTAGGGTGAGTTACAATATATGCTTCATTCAAATATTGTGTTACAAGTTGAAATTATTAATTCCTTTAATTTACAAGCGATCTTTGATTCAAGCATTAAATATGCTACAAAAATAATGTGGTATCACCTGAGTGGATGTGCCAAACATGTTTGCTGTTGAAAACAAGAATATTTTATTCATTATCTCCTGACAATTATAGTTAAATATACAATTACCAGGCACATGACAGCCTTATTCACTTCTGGAGCAGAAATGTCATTACAATACCTTTAGTTAACTATGCACTGATATATATACTATACCTTTCACTGTGACAAGAAGGACTGGTTTATAAGGGTTGCCTAAGAAGTAAGTGAATTTCAGATCTTCAATTCTTTTCTTCTTGTGAAGTTTAGAAGCAACAGCAGCAAGATATAAAGCCCTCTTTCTTGTGTAACGTTGATTCAGGTAATCTTTAGGGTTGAAACTTTCCTGAAGGGATACACAATAATAACAATCACACCTGGTTGACATGAAAACAAAATCTGGCAACAACAACAGAGAAAAAAAAAAAAAAAATAAAAGCCCTTTCATGAAAAAAAAAAGTTAGGAATTATTAAGTTAAGTTCCAAATAGTTTAACACCACTTATTACATGATTATTTAAAGATTCGAATCAAAAGATTAAGCACTTTATGTGATATAGCTATTCATTAAAAATTCATAATCACATACAGACAAAACATGCAAACCTTTGGAATTTCCATGACAACATCTGCCACAACATCAGGTTTGACAGCAGTATCCAAAACAAAACTGCCAGACAACCGAACATTCACTGGTGGAAGAAACTGGAAAACGCCCTTCACCGAAGCTGGATTTTCTATCAAAGGCACTTTGATACTTTTTGACTGCAACCACTCTCGGTCAGTAATCTAAAAAAAAAAATGTGTCACATCCGCATAAAATAAACTAGTCAATGTTACAACAGAACATTTTGACTAAATTAGTTTTTACTAAGACTGGAATCGATTGATTAGCTTACAGAAAGAAGCAAAAATCAACACCTGACATCAGGATGGTGCAACGTGTCTTAACTAATTACTAAAAGACTACAAATCTGTAGTACAAAAGAAACTGAGCTCCTGTTAGTCAAGAGGTGAGAAAAATATGATATTGGCTAGGACACATATTTAGAAAAACTTTGAAAATATAACTAGAACGTCCCCACACTGAAATACAAAGGGTCAAATGAATCAGAACAGGCCAAACAGGCCATGAAGAAGAGAATTAGAGACTGGGGTGAAAAAGAGGACATTTGGTGAGCTGCATGTGAAGGCAAAGAACAGAATGACTTGGCATGGAAGGCCTATGTGTCGTTGGTGGGTTAAAGGCAGAAGAGAGGAAGAAAGCATATAAATAAACTAGCTGTTCACAAAACTTTTGACAAATACACGCATCACAAAATACACTTGAATATTACATAATAATGCCCTGAAATGAGGCAGAGATAGAACAGTTATTGTATCATAAATCTAAAATTTAGTAAATTCTTTAGGGTTCAAACCTTAGTGTTGGGCATAAGCTTTCAAACTATAAAGTATGACACTGAACACAAAATAAGGAATTTATCATACTTAAGGTGACATATGGTAAGTAAAGGACCCTCTTCCTCGCCTTTAGGGCATATAGGGTTAGACCTAAATTTTTTAATACACTAATCGGCACAAGATGGGGGATGTGGTCAGAATCACACCGTCCACCTTTACTTCCCAGGACTGCACTTGGTACCCACCCAAGGCTGGGTCTACCTGGGAGCCAAAGTCATTTCTGAAAAAAGTCCGGCTCTGCCAGGGAGCAAACCCATGACCTTCCGACGAGTGTATAGCCGCTACGCCACGACGACTCCTTAAGGGGACAGATAGCCATGGAAAATACATCATACAACATGCCTAGTGGCACATGAATAGGCACTCCAGAATGAGTCTGCTGGGCTGGTATGTGTAACATTCTTAAAATTTTGCATTCCTATAATATAATATGTATGGGACTCTTTTTTTTTTAAAAACAAGCAGTGATGATTACAAAAGTGTCTGCTGCCTTAACTGGTCATGGCCATTGAGGGTAAGATGCCATGTGTCAATTCCTCCAAACAAACAAAATGGCTGAAACATTTAAATTCTAGGGACAGCTATTTTCCAGTTTACAGTCCCCTACTCATAGATTCTGGCTTCCCAGTAAGTAAACCGCTGTGATCAAAACTCTGCAGGAACAACATGCTCAAAGCTACAAAAACTATTAGTCATCATCCCGCCTTGACATAGCACAACCACAATACATTCTGCTCCCCCCCTCCCCATGAAAAATACAATGTATTCTGTGTTGGAAACATAACGCAAAATAACAGTACATGACAAGGGAAGAGAATAATCTGAGATAAATCACAGCCAATGAAAATTAACACAGCCGATTGTTGCCATCTTGAAAACATGCTGCAGTTAATTCCCATTTATAACATTTACAACACTATAAGTGCAGGTAACTAAGACATCTTATACTCTACAACACAGCAAAAGTCACCAAAAGAGTTAAGAATCTAAAATAAAAGATGACAAACCAACCTTATGTACTTTTCCAACTGACAACCCCTTCACCATTTTTGACAGAGCTTCAAAGGCTTCTTTAACTCGTGCTTGTAATTTCAACTTCACTGATACTTCTTTCAACAGCTCTGACATCTGCATAATGAACAGAAGTAGCATTCATATTTAAAAATATATTTTGTGCTCACTTTAAGTTGATTTTTTTTTCAACAAAGAAAGAGCAATAAATACTGGCTATGGTTTAAATCAAAATATTTATCAGCACCACAAAAACTAATGGATACCCAGTTATACAGGTATACTAATAAATACCACTTATTTAATCCTCTTCTAGCATGTGGTGTTCTGTGGATTAGGCATTGCCAACACGCTCCGTGATATCGGATTCGATCCCAGCTGCAGATGGTTTGTTTTGCATTGGTTTTGACAGGTGACCGCGCAGGAGGCAATGGCAAGCTACTGAACGTAAAATTTGCCTAGAAAAACCACAACAGCCAAAAAATACTAGGGTTTATTCTGCAACATCCTAAAAAAAAAAATACGCAACTAACAGTCAGAGAGATCACCAGACTTCTCTATCAGCAGTTTTCTAGTTTTCTTTTTTGGGTCCTGTTCTATTCTAGCCCTCTGTCAGATGTTGTCTTTACAGCCAACCCTGGGTCATACTGGTTCTTGGCCTCCCATGGTGACCGATTCTCTCCCAGTCTGCGACTGATCCAAGTTTGTGAGGCTTGGGTTTCTAGGTCATGATGCAATGTCTGGTTGCAAACTTTGTCCCTTAGACCACATTTCTCAGATACCTGAAGCTCTGGCTTCTGTGAGCCCACGACTCACACCTCTACGTCAGGACTGGCACATAGGCAGAGCAAAATACAGCCAATTTTGTCGTTGTTTAAGAAACCCTCGGTTTTTGGTAGGAAAAAGTCTCCCATTTGCTGCATTTTGAAAGTCAACTGACTTAATGCCTCCATTCTGGTCTAATTCAACTCCAAGGTATTTGAACCAGCTGACCTGCTTCAATGCACATTGTCCCATCATGAAATCATGTTTCTTTTACTCTCTTAGGATCACTATGGTTTTATTTTTAAGATACTGATGGTCAATGTTCTCCTCTCAAGTTCTACCTTCAGACAAGTAAGCTGAACTGAAGATGAGTCTCTGATTCAGCAGTCAGGGCTGCATCATCTGCACATTCCAGCTCTAATATACAGATTGGTCTCATATTCCAGTACCCTACTGAGTACTTCTCTGTTTTCTCCTTGCAATTGTACAATGATAAATAATCAATACACCAGTCAGTTCTAGCATACTTAACGAATTACAGTGCATGTCAGTATTCTCTCAATACAGAAATCAAGCCTTAGTTTCTCTGTAAGCCTCACCTGTAGCCGAAACAGGCTGGAATGGAACAGAGCTTCTGTCTCTTTCAGCCGTGTGATTTCCTGCCCACTAAAGTCTCCATGCTTAGACTTTTTATTTTTCTTTGTTGTCTCAACAGCAGCATCATTAGTCTTCTCAATATCTGAAGACTCCTGTGGGTAAACAAACAAGATAAAGGTGTTAACAATTATTTCTGTCTGTGTAATGATGAAGACTGAAGTAATGCTCCCCTGTGTGGGTTCTGGGACCCATTTTTTAGAAGGGGTGGGGAAAGACCCATTACCCCCTACTAAACATGTAAGGGTCTGCTGAAATTGAATGTCTTGGGCAGAAAGATGCAGATATAACTGCCCCTTTGAGACAAAGCAGAAGAATACAAATTGATGCTTATCCTATTGATGGTCCAGAGCCTGAACAGGTATATTTACAGAACTTGCCCAGGCTAAAGATATGCTCAGCTGAACATTTTCCATGGGTTCTCACAAATGGCAGAACAGAATGAAAACTAAGGTTTTCTATTATTGTTTTGAAACCCACAATGTTCCCCTTTTTTTTGGTAACAATTGTGTGTGTGTGTGTGTGTGTGTGTGTTTGTATGATTTAAGTTTGACACCATTTGGTTAAAAACATTTCACATGATAAACAAAACAAATTTTATTTATAATTTACCAATGCAACATGTCAACATGCACTTGCTAAGCACAGGGTCGGAAGAAGATCAGTTAGTATACCAGTCAAACTCACTTAAGTTAAAATTAAAAAGTAAAAACAGAATGAATACAACAGAGTTAAGTGGGCAGTTATTTTTTTTTTGTTGTTATGTGTGTGCATTTTTCAATTTTATATAGGATTCTTAGAGCCTGAAGATGAAAAAATAACTCCAGAGACATCACTTAATTAAACTGTCCATTGCCAAAAGTTGTACTGTAGTATTTATAAATAAGTGGGTGTGCCTGAATAAAAACTTTTGCTTTGCAGCACGGATGGGGGGGGGGGGGGGGGGGGGGGGGCTAAACAAGGTGCCTGGGACTCACGAGCAAATTAATTTGAGGAAGTTGCAGGAGATGCGGTAGCTGCTGCTCATGAGTCCCAGCCATCTAGTTTAGCCCCCATCCGCACCGCGCGTAGCAGCGAGAATGGGGGATACAGTCGGCGGTGAGGCATAGTCACAGAAACAGGTCCACAAGTACCATATCGCTGAGACCCTGTTAGGGCATTTGTTTCCTTTTACGGAGCCGGCATATTTTTAATAGAACTGAGCCCTGTACGGATATTTGTTGCCTCCATAATGCTGGGGTAGATGTTCGGAGGAGAGCCAGTTGTTTTTATCCATGATTTTTCTTACTATTGTTGGCAACCAATACTAACATCTTTGGTTTAGCGAACACCTACCCGAATAGTGGGTAGCACTGGGTGTTTTATCATTTTGTCCCTCCCGCAAATATTACTTTTCATAACTTCTCAGAAAGTTAAAAACTCATCATACTTTAATATGAAAATGTCTGATGTTGAACAACTAACAACACACTAAGTTTTCTTTTGTTTTCTGTGTGATTTTTTTTTTCAAAGTGTCTTCTCTGTCTAGTACTAACTTCTATGTCTAATTTATTGCAAACATTTAAAGATTAATTAGTAATAATTCCCTAATTAGTTTTGTTAGTTTTAATCATCACTCTACTTGTCACTTAAATGCATTATTTCCTAATGTTTCAGGTTATAGCAAATAATCAAATGGCCTTGACAATTTAAATTATTATTTATGCATGATCATGATGAATAAATTTAAAATTATTAAATATTAGGCTCTCCTTTGAACTTACCCCCAAAATGCCAGCCGTAATATGATAGCCCATTCTGGACATAAAATATCCCAAAACGGTGTTCACGTATACCTAAAATACGGACTTCCTGCCAAGGAACAAATCTCGCCAAAACTAGGATTACTTGACACTCAATATCAACATTGCACACGGTAGTAGTAGCAGACGATAAATACTGACCGTTAACAATTTCGGGCGTTTCTGCAGACGATACTGGCGACCGTTGACCAATTTCGAGACATTACAGACGATGAAAGCCGATTAGCAATACTGTGTTCTTTCCATAGGAGGATTTAGCAGCGGTAGATTCAGACCTGTCGGCATGTGCCAAACGCAATTAAACTCATTGCCGAGGGTATCCCCCGCGCTGCGCGGATGGGGGGCTACACTAGGTGCCTGGGACTCACGAGTACAGTAATTGGAGGAAGTTGCAGGAAATGCGGTAGCTGCTGCTCATGAGTCCCAGCCATCTGGTTTAGTCCCCATCCGCGCCACGCGTAGTGGCGCGGGGGATGCCGTCGGCGGTGAGGCACACTCGCAGAAGCAGGTCCGCAAGTAATGTATCGCTGAGACCCTGTTCGAGCATTTTTTTCGTTAAGCGGAGACGGCACATATATTTTTAATAAAACTGAGCCCCATTCGGATATTTTTTGGCCAGAAATTGCCCAATTTAGCTCTCTTTCGGACAGCATCATAATACGGCCGCCATTTTGGGGGTAAGTTCAAAGAAGAGCCAAATATTATTAATTATTATAGCAACTACGGTGTCCGGAAATTTGCGATCTTTTGGCAATTTCAGTTACCACGGAAACCGTTCGAAACTTGCTTCGGAAATGTCGGCTGGGGTTTCAGGATGGGTCCTAATCTCTCATGAAATTCTGCGATTGGTGAGATTTTCACCTACTCTAAATAGCTGAAGGAACCTGATTAACAGCGCATGTCTTCGACAGCCGGACGTCCTCTGTTTTTCTGTTACATCAGTTTGATTGAAAAAAGCGCTAAGTATTCAAGGTTGGCTTTAGACTTTCTGTTACTGGCAATGTTAATGCTAGTTATAATTGAATTCTCCGTCCATTTTTACATTTGTGTATAAAATTTCTTTCTGAACCGTGGCTAGGTAGATGTACAGTGACATTTTTTTACGCAATCGCTGGCTTAGCCAGTGGCTGTGTCTCATTGGCTGCCATCTTGTCCAATGACAGTCTAATGTAAACAAAGCCAAAACGAAAGTTGCGCAGTTTGGTTGCGCAGAGAAAACCTCTTGTTTCTGGAAGGCAAGTTTAGCAGCTGCTTTCTACATCTCATCTCATCACACAAAAAACTACATATCTCAGCTCAGAAATGACTTACAAGCCTAAATGAGGTACCATTGGAAAGAGATTGTTTACAGCTATCTAACTGTGCTGGTTTTATTGGTGTAGAGGGAATTTTGAAAATTTGACTAAAGTACCTAAATTATTACAACAAAGATTGATTTTAAGCAAGTTAAAACTTAAACTTCTTTCAGTTAGCTTCAGTTCAGAATGCCAGTGCAGTGCGAGGTAGGCCAATATCTGAAGCTTTTTTCCATGAGTTGGTAGTAAGTTTACTAACGTATTTTTCTTATTCTTCTTCAGCGTTCCGAGCCCTTGAGGCTTGAGGTTCATTGCTGCAGACATCACCCGTCTCCAATCTCTCTGGCTGGCCTTCCCTTTCCAGTTGGTGACACCAAGTGTTTGTAGGCCTTTCTAATAGTTAAAAATTAATTCCATTGCATTATACTTACATTTTCTGCCAGTTTTCGCTTCATGGCGCTATTAATAAGGAAATCTCAATGGGCTTCAGAATTCTCTTTCAATTTTCTAACACTGTCCTCGCATGAAACACATGGTATTTTCAATATGTAGTAAACTTCCGGTTTTCTTGTTTGTTTCGTGTGCATTTTATTTGTTTTTTTTAATTCCAAAGACAAGAACTTTGTAATTTACGATAAATATTACCGCATAAATTCCACAGATAATTGTATTGTTTAAATGTTAAATTTATACGAAACAAGATAACAGCAACTTCTTATATAAATAGCAAATATATAATATTTATTCCCAGTGTACTGCTACTTTCCAGTGCAACTTTTCAACGACCCGCGGGAAACACTGTGAATGGAGATTGTTTATTAATGCCAACTAATTTATTCTATCTTTAATGTCACTTCTGTATTACACTTCTTTGCTAACATAAGTGCGAACTTAATCTTTAGTTGTGCGTGCTTACATAAAGCAAATTAAATGAATCAGTTTAATAGTATGTGATTGGCTAATCATTGACTTCAGTCAGTTGTTTTGTCACCACCAAACTTTAAAAAGGTAAAAATTAAAATAAAAAACAATTGGTTGATTTCATGTATATATATAAATATATTTTTAAAAAACGTGATTTACGATGAAACCTGAAAAGTTGCAGTATCGTCAAAAAACTATGTCACTCACACCCCTGCAAAAACATATATTTTTTTACTTGTGCATAAGTTGTCTCATTTTTACCATCTGATGAATGAAGTGTGTTGCGCGGCAACTGGACTAAAGTTGTAAAAAAGATAAACAGGCTATCCGCGGAACAATGGTCCCAAATTATCGAGGCCGAAAATATACCCTAACAGGGCCCCAGTTACATGTCAATTGTGAACTTCCGGCAGCTGCGAGAGTATCTCCCACGGCGCTATGCGCCGCTAAACTGGATGGCTGGGACTCAGAGCGGCTCTCCTCCGAACTTCTACCCGATATTAGGGCCTCAGTCGTGTGTAAAATGCGGACTTTCTGCTAAGGAACAAATCAGGGCAAAACTAGGATTACTTGACAATTTCAAGAGACGCACTACTGCAGATGATAATAGTGACCGTTGACAATGTCAAGCTTTTCTGCAGACGATACTAGCAGATGATAATAGCGACCATTGACAATTTCGAGACACGCAACATTACAGATGATAATAGCGACATGGCGGGGAGACCACGCGCTCCGACGCAGATTAGCGTTGTTTTTGTCCTCAGACTTTTCGGCATGCGCAAAACGCAGTTAAACTCACCGCTGACAGGATCCCCACGCCGCTACGCGCGGCGCAGATGGGGATCTAAACTAGATGGGACTCACGAGCAAATAAATTAGAGGAAGTTGCAGGCGATGCGGTAGCTGCTGCTCGTGAGTCCCAGCCATCTAGTTTAGCAGGGGATACTGTCGGCCGTGCGGCATAGTCGCAGAAACAGGTCCGCAATTAACATATCGCTGAGACAGAGCATTTGTTTCGTTATTTGGAGCCGATCCTAGTTTTGGCGCGATTTGTTCCTAGGCAGAAAGTCCGCATTCTACACACGGTTGAGGCCCTGTTAGGCTATTTGCTTGGCCGCCATAGTATCGGTTAGAGGTTCGGAGGAGAGCCCTCAGAGAAGCAGCTACCGCATCTCCTGCAGCTTCCTTTATTTTATTTGCTCTTGAGTCCCAGCCATCTAGTTTAGCCCCAATCCACGCCACGCATAGCAGCGCGGGAGATACTCTCGGCGGTGGCGGTAGTCCCCAGCAGTACGCAATTGACATGTGACTGAGGCCCTGTTAGGGTATATTTTGGCCTCGATAATTTGGGACCGTCATTCGGACCATAGCCAATAAACGGTTGGAATGTATGAAATGTTTTGCCAGTTTTACAAAGACTTAAAAATTGCAACAAACAGAATGTTGCCACAACAAGCCTTTATCAACAGATACAATAAGAATTAAAAGCTCAGAGGGAAATTACACAGAAATACAGCATCAAGTCACTGACACAAAATAAGCAATCAGAATGAAATATATGTTACTTAGCTGAGTGACTGATTCTTAAAAAAGATATGCCTTTTTTTAAATATTTTTTTTAAATTTTCCCAAATGTGTTAATTCAGGTGTATCCGTTGAAATACTACATTGTATACCATTTTTTTTAGCCTCACTCCATCCCGAAATCCAATAAAGTCATCTACCGGCGAGTCAATAGGCTGGTTAAAGTGAATTTGTAGCACCCCCTGGTGAGCAATATGAAAACAACCAACACTCAATAAGTCTTACTACGCCATTTGTCATTGATTAGCATTATCAGTCAATAATAAAGTAGTAAAAATATGGATCTAATACAGTTGTTTTCAACTTAACCCCTCCCTTTTCCCACCCGTCCCCAATTCCACCAGTTAAAAATAAAAAGAATTATGATTGTAAAGAAGACAAATGCAAAGCACTATTAAAAGGCGCATGGATTAGAACATTCCCAAAAATCAAAGTGTCAGAAAAAAAAAATGAACAATCTTCAACTAGTAATTTAGTTTCTAAATATCAGTGTAGTGGTTGACACTGCTGTGTTTTGTTGATATCATCTAATTTTTGGTCTGATGTTGGACACAAAGGATTATTACAAGTAACTCAATTTCACTATTGCTTGACCCCCCCCCCAACCCCATTTTTTTCCCCCTGGTTTAAAACCATTGGTCTAACAGACTGTTCTCTCAGATACAGTTTTGTGACCTCATTAAATTTTTGGGTATGTCATTGACTTGTAGGACATTTTTAAATTTTATTTACAGACTATTCCAACTTCTGTCTGAGCCAGTATCTCAATTAGACTACTTCACAACTTCAGGATGTCTGACTTGGTAGAAATTGATAGTCTTCTGTCATCAAACACGCCTCTTAATAACACCGAGGATGGTGAGGAGGAGGCAATGACAGCATCTGAAGTACTTCAGAAGTTAGAGGAGGTACGTAGTCAAGTTTGCATTTCCATGTGAAGTTATTCAGGACAGTGATAGTAGAAATCATATTCATTCCCATAGTTCAGTGCTGGATTTCAGTATAAGCTATAGTTTCCAGCCTCACAATCTGTAGAAGCCATTTTTTTTTTTTTAATTTTTATTTTTGCAAATGCAAATTTGTTTTATTTTATAAATTTGAAATGCAGTTATCTTTTGATATGTTTTACATTTTATAGAGGGTTCTTCTTCTTCTTTTGTCATCTGACTGATACCAAATTGTAACCCAGTGTCATGGTTTTCTGTATTATTCTTGTACTTCTCGGGTGGCAAGAAACATATAGAGGATTACATAATATTTCTTTTTATTGTGCAAATTCATTTTTTTTTTAAATTATTTTTTTTAATAAATATTAAATGACAGTATATTTCCATTATCCATGTAAACGGCATACATATTTTAAAGTTTTTCAGAGATTAGCGGCCTTAATATAAAATGGTAGAGCCCTCCCGGTTTTTATCTGGCTTAGGGCCTCATCGTCTAAATTCACCCCTTCTAGAGACTCTTTTAGAAGGAAATATATGTTTACAAAAACTTGGAGTCTTATGGTGGGCCCAAAGATTGTAGATTGCAAGTAATCCGTTTACTTTGTAAATTAATTTTTTTTTTCAAGCCATCTTTATTAGGCTTTCCGTCTTTGCTGTCCTCATCAATCTTCTCTAAAATCACATAATCACAGCTTCCATGTAAATAATTTTTCACCAGTTAGCTGACTGTCCATAACTCGCTACTGTATATTTTACATTAGAGTATGAATAGCAATAAAAGCATAATAATGTATTCTCTGTTAACTAATAGCTTCATGAATTATACAAAGAATCAATAATTATTTCAGGCATGGTTGAATGAAAAGTTTGCTCCTGATCTTCTGCCTGTAAAATCAAATTTGGTTGAGTGTATGCTGGCCCAGATAGATGCAATGGAAGCTAACATTGCAACTGCTAAGAAAGGAGACTTCAGAATAAGTGTCCATCGTATGGAGGTATGGTTTCGTAACTGCTCTTCCCATTTTATTGCCACGCACCTCTACTCTAAAGACTTCGTATGTATGAAGCCACATAATGTATACATTATTAGTGAGAACTAGAAGAAGTAAAATGTATTTCTTTGGTTTGGTAGAATGCTGTCAACTATTGTCATTAAAAATAATGAAGCAGAAATTTGAGGTTGAGTTCTAGCTTGATCATCAGCCAGGAAATATTAATTCATTACATTTCTTTTTTATCTTCATCGGCTGTAAACTTTGGCGAAAAGTCCTGGCTGTATTTCAGTGTTGTATGTACATCTCTTTTGCAGATTTGTCTTATTTGTGTGCAGTCTGTCGGTTCCTTGTCTCTCAGGCAGGTCCTTTTCATTTTTCCAGGCCTAGGATTAAAGTAACTTCTCTTGCAATTCATGCCTCCTTAGGTCACTAGACCTCTCCTATGTTGCGGGAGTGTAACGATATGGCTTGGTTTGGCGTTCGCTATGAAATATTTGAAAGAGGTTGTGGGTCTGTTTCAGGTGCCGCAGCCACCTATGTCAAGTAAGAAGTACTATAGAGAAGGCTCCACAAGTGCAACAATTCTTCTTTAGTATTGCTATGTTCGTTGGTGATGCCCTCTTCCCCCGAGAGAAACAAAGCAGTTACAAGGAGCATAGGACTGGAAAAATATTGCTGTTCGCAGTTTCCATACTCCCAAACAGTCGAGCAGGTAGCAGAATCTGAAAATAATTAGGCAAGCAAGCGATGAGAGAATGGGCTACGATTAAACCGTTAACAATAAGGAAAGCATGACTCCCCCATACCTAGGAGAGGTCCATTGACCTAAGTAGGCATGAATGGCAAGGGAAGTTACTCTAACCCTGGGCCTGAAAGAATGAACAACACTCTCAGGCAGAAAGAAATTTTGGTCCTGCTTACATCGGCTAGACCATTTGTTGGGAACCTGCTTCTAGAAAAACCGTTGAGGAGTGTAGACATGTACATTAAAAAACAGTAGTCACTTTTAAAATAAAAATAACATTGCATCTAAATAAAATTGTATGCATAATATACAGAGATTTACATAGGTAAATCCTTGTTAGCTAACTTCTGAGTAAGTCAACACATGGTTTTAAAGTATAATATTCGCATACATAGCTATATGCATTATAGAGAAAGGGTCTCCACAGCTTAATTGCTCGTGCTCTGCAAGTCTTGTGCTTCTTTATTGGCTAGGTTGTTTGGTTTATGAATGCAGTTTTTGAGGCGAATCGTGAGGATTGTTGCTGGAATTATGGCTTTTGTGGTGTTTGTGATGCACTTGGCAGGCGGCTAGCCATTTTGCTGAGAGATTGAGTCATACAAGATTAAAAAGCTAGTGCAATGAAGTCAATCTACCTGCTTTAAATTTAGTTAGGTCATGCTTTAAAAAAAATGTTAGTCTGATTTGAAGCATTTAAAATATTATCTACATTAAATTTACTGTTTTGAAATTTTTCAGATTGACCGAATTAGATACATCATAAGCAGCTACCTCAGAATTCGTTTGGCAAAGGTCAGTGTATTTTCTGTAACAGCTGGTTACTTTGGGAAACCTCTGGAAAACTGGGTTGAGAGTCCACTATAAGTTGTCTGAGCCCTGAGGTTGCATCTAATGGTGTTAGGTTGGTTTAGAAACTACTCCTTGTTTTGGTAATAAGCTAATATCCTCATAGGAATTTATTGCAGAACTCACCTTTCCCTTGCTAAGCTCTGAAATCAGTGGAGTTTTTTGAAGCAGTTCTGGAACTTCAAATGTGCAGAGGCATTTTTCAAATGCAACCAGGTCATGACTCAGCACATCAAGCTTCAGCAGAAGTTGGCCTAGATTGTTAATGTTTTCTCCACAGGTATTAATTATTCACAGCTAGCAAACTCCAACTCAGTGGAAAGAGTCCTTCAAAAAATTATAAGTTAATTAAAAATGTTGTTGTCTGTCCAGGGATACTCGTTTTAAAATATATATTTGTCATTATATCACTATTGCATATATTAATGCAGAAGTAATGCTTGCAGCGACAGATTGTAATGAAAATTGTTAATGTCAGTATTTAAATGGGAAGGTCTGGAGGCGGTGGAGTTAACTTATATTTAATCTCTTTGAGAGTTAGAAGCAAATGAGTACTGCAGTGGGTTTGTATTTCTTCGTGTCATCACCTTCTCTTTCTTCCCATTCAACTTTCCTGTTGTCCAGTTTATCACTGTTTTTGTGGCTAATCCTAATTCTTAACTTGTTGCATTCTGCGACAATACAGACCAATTATTTATTTGTGAATTTGATATCCATAGTGCACACTAAATTGTCCATTGTCATAATTTATGTCACAACTTTATTTGTCTATATTTTTGTAATCATATATTTGACTTTTTACTTTTTTGGTCATTGTAGATTGAAAAATTTACAACACATGTTTTACAAGAAGAGGAAAAACACAGAGATACTGACACCCCTCTTTTGTCTGATGCTGAGTTGGAATTTGCAAAAGGGTAGGTTCTTTCATTTAATTATCTCAGACAACTTTTAAGCTGTGTTTTTCTAATTTTAACCCACAATGGAACCTAAGTTTATGTAGGAGACACTGTGAATTGGTGATGGCATAAGTAAAAGGGGTGATACAGATCCTGAATGGCCTGTCTGAAAAGATAATCAACGATGTCTGCAACATTGAAGAGATTAGCCCTGGAGAAGAATGGATAAAGGTACCAGAAAGAAGAGCTGCGCAAAATGGTAATTACGGTGGGGCAGGGAATGGGCGGTGGAACGTGCAGAGGTTCAACAGCTGAGAGGACATCTATAGACCAGGAGATATGATTGCATACACTGATGGGTTAGTTGCCAGGAGTAGAAAGAGTGAATGGGGCTTTATTGCAAAAGCATGGGGTAGTTAATGACTAGAAGAGCTTAACGTATAAAATTTCCACATGAGAATGAAGGTTGAAACAGTGTTTCAGTGGGTTTATATGGGTTGCATCAATCCACAAGTCACAGGTGGTGAGAGTCACATGCATAGTTTGCCTGGGCGATGTAGACATGTTTGGGAATTAGCAGGCAGATAGGTTGGCTGCTCCTGCCCAACTTAGGGATGAACTACAACTGTATAAGACAGAGGTGATCTCCCACCTGTAAGATAAGGTAACAAGTAAAATGGAAAAATATTGAAAACCCATACATGATAAAGCTAGGAGTATATGCGGACTCTTAACACTACTCATGACTCGGCATAAAAGCCAGTTTACAAAACCTTTGCAGGACCTTGCAGAACCAACCCCAGCATGTTTTGTGTGTGTATGTGTGGCTGTTGTTTTTCTAGGCAAATTTACGTTCAGTAGTTTGCTAATGCTTCCTGAATGGTCAGCCTTTGATACCACTGTCGAAACCAGTGCCAGAAAGTCTGCTGCCAAGTCGCTGCAGCTGGGATTGAACTCGGCGTAGGACCTGCATTTGCAACACCTAAACCACAGACGTAGACAGGAAAGGCAGGAGAGGAAGTTAACCAGATGACAGCAGCTACCATCAGCATGGAGACTCTTCACTGGCTGCTGAGGAGGGAGACGGAGCTAATGTGTGCTTGTCCTGAATGCTGTATGTTGAAACTTTACCCAAATGAATCCAGATATTCACTAGTTTGCTATTGCTGCCTAAATTGATTGACGCTGATACATTTGTAAGTTAAAATCAGTGCAAGGCAATCTGCTGCAAATTCTGTTGCCAAATGGCCTGCATGTAAATTGTGATGGAATTGTGGAACTGTACTCATAACCCCTGAGCCATAGATACTAACTACTTTTATTTCACAATCATCATCCTCCTTTTGTGTTGTTATTCATCATAGGGCTTGCAGATCATGCTTATTATCCTGTTAGTTTCAATACATTTACTTACTTTATGTTTATATTTATGGTTAAAATATATTCTCACAGGTATAACAGCAGTGTCATGTCCCACCTTACAAACACAGCTCTCAGACACATGCCTGCCAATGTTGCATCCCTGAACTCAAAAGAGACAGGTGAGTTTCCTTATTTACATTCTTAATGTAAATGTTTGGTCTTCTTATATATTTTGTTCATGACCGTTCAGCAGTTCAGATTTTTTTACTTCTATTAACTTGAGCCATATTGTTCATTTTCAGTTATTGCCCTTGTTCCATCTCCTTAATAACTAATCTTTTTTTTTTTTACTACCTAATATTTCACAGTTATTTATAAATAATTTTCTTCTTCTTGATTGTCCTCTTCTTAATTTTCTTCTGCTCTTTATCCCCCAGAGAGCATAGGCACTCAGCTAGATTGTGTCTAGTCATTTAATGGGGTAGCACTGGGGTTATGATTTTCTCAGTCACAGTCACATAAATATATTTTTTCATATTTGTTGAGAAAAATCAGATTAAAAAAAAAAAACTACCTATATTTCCAAGCCTTAAACAGTACAGTGTATCTTCTTCTCTTCTTCCCTGTGTAAGGGGGGGGGGATCCCCCCCCTTCCCAATCAAGCATGTCATAAGTGGCAGCTAATTATGGATGTTAATTTCAATATTGGGGTGCATCTGTCTCAAAAGCGAGCAACCAAAAGTCTGTATACAAATAAGCGAGATTTCTAAAATGGATGTGCACACAGCACTCAAGTTCTGGAACAAGACCAAAGTTCAGAAGTGGACAAACAACAAGAACTTTCCACTGGAGTTTACATTTGGTGAACACTTAGAGGAAGAAAGAAGTCCTGTCTTCTGCCTTCACACATAATCAATGTTCTCCCGTTTTTGTTTAAACCACTTCTCTAATTCTAAATAATGAAAACATGAGCTTAAATGAATTACTAGCAGAATTATACCAACAACAAAGGGCTATGTCTGAAGTCCATACTTTTGAAAAGTGTTTTTCACCAGACCATGCACCATACATTCATTTGTGACTTTTTGCATTCATTGGTGGCTTCTTGCATTCATTGGTGACTCCATACATTCATTAAAGTCGCCATATACCTATTGACGACTCCATACATTTATTGGTAACTGTGCATTCATTGGTGACTTCATACATTCATTTGCTACTCCATGTGATGGCTCCATACATTCATTGATGGCTCCCATACAATGATTGGTGGCTGCACACATTCATTGGCTACTCCATACATTCATAAGTCTCCAAATACTTATTGATGACTCCATACATACATTAGTGACTCCATGTATTCATGCATTCATTGATGACTTCATAGATTCATTTGTTACTCCGTACATCCATTGATGATTGCATACATACATTTGTGACTCTGTACATTCATTGATGACTCCATATATTTATTAGCGACTTCATAAATCCATTGTTGACTGCATACATGCATATCATCATGTAGCAGGTCCTTTGCAGAACGTCGCTCTCATCACAGTCTGCCTGAAAGAAACTCGGTCCCTTGCCAGCTCTCATGCACTTTCACACCCAAGGAGTGACTTATATCCTGTGCCCATCTTCGTGTCGGTCGGCCCCTGCCCCTCCTTCCTGGTACCAGGCCTTCTGCTATAACTTTTTCCAATCCGTCGTGGCGCTTGATATAACCAAAATATTTTAGCTTTTGAGAAAGGATTCTGTTTATTAGCCATACATGCATATAGTCAATGTTAATTCTATGCATACATTGTTAATTTAGTGTAATAAATATCTAGGTCAGCAGAAATAAATATAATAATTCTTAGCCCACAAGGGGGCGGTTTAAGTAACTTTTCTAAATAATCAGTTAAATAAATAATAAGTTTTTAAAATAATCATTTTAATTGCTGCCTAGAATAAATAAGTAAAATAAAGAACCCTTTCCACACCTTTGGGCATATAGGACTATGCCTATATTTTATTGATCAGTCAGCACTTGGTAGGTGATGTTTTCAGCAGAACCCTGGCCACCTTTACCCCCCAGGACTCCACCTGGTACCTGCTCAAGGCTGGGTTGATGTGGAAGCCAAGGACATTTTTAAATATAAGTCCGGTTTTGGCAGAACCTGAGCCCATGACCTTTCTAGCCACTACACCACCCCAACTTCTACCACCTAGAATAGAAGGGATTTAATGAAAGCACTGCGTGGGGCCAAAACTGTACATCATTCACACATTGAAATTTGTGCCCTTGATAATTAGAGCTCAGATCTAGACACACTGTTTTGTTTTATTATGTTAGAATGACATACTTGTCTGCTGGGGGGACTGTTTTTGTTGTGTCTGGGATTGTGCTTTAATCCAAGGTCAGGCAAAGCTAAAAGTTCATTCTATAATAATAAAAGACAGTACTACCTTGACCCTAACAAGAAGGTCAAGTTCATCAGATTGTAAGGAGCTGCAGTGTCACCTTGACCCTGACAAGCCTGTATGTAGACAGTAGCTTCGTTTGAAGTAGACTCCATACATGTGATCTGTTTGCAAATACTGAATCTTTCACATAACTGGTCAGATGACATGATCAATCTCTTTCTTCTTTGCAGTCACCGGCTGTAAATTTTGGCAGACAGTCCTGGTTGTTGGTCCAGTCTGACTTTTGTCTTGTTCCAGAACGGGAGTTTTGCACGCAACTCCGTTTTACAGATCTGGCTTATTTGTATGCAGACTGTTGGTTCCTCCCCTTTTACTTTGAAAGAAGAACTCTAATTAGTCTACTTCTATGACTTGCTTGCTTGTTATGGGGACAGTGGGTCTATTCTCTTTTGCCCCCACAATGTCACCCCATAACCCACACAGTGATGGCATTGTGAAGAGGGAGGTAAGAAACTACCTTCTTAGAATCCCTTTCCATCGCAAGCTCATGCTTGTGAGACTAGTTTCTTAATCAACTTCAGTTGTCAGATAAGGAAGTTGTTCAGGTCTCTTGACTGATCTCAGCCTTTATTGTATATATATATGTACACATACATGCACATAATACTTACAGTAGTTAACAGTCACATTTAGGTTTTAATATTAATCTAAAATGCATTCAGCTGATGTAGATAACTTGAGCACCTTCTGTGATACAATTGAAAAGTCTTATGCCGTTTAAAACCAACTGTGAAACATACGTTAGCTAACTTTAATGACTTATTCATTGTGTATGTGTCAAAACACTTAGTATCAGTTTTAAGCCAGGAATTATGTCTGTAGATTTAAGTTGCCAGTAACTATTCCACCCATTAAAGGTAGAAATGCACGGAACAGTCCCCCTCCCCCACCTTCCTCCCCCTCTTCCACCTTCCTTTCACTCCCCCCCCCCCCCTCCATCCTACCCATCTCCCCCACCACCTCCACTTCCCCCCCCTCCACCGCCTCCACTTCCCTCCCCCACCACCTCCACTACCCCTCCCCCCATCACCTCCACCCCTCCCCTCTCTCCGTGTATGAGAAAAACTACACATTCTGTATACTGGTACAGATCCGTCAGACACCCCACGCGTGGTAGTTTATCTGGAGTTCCTGATAAGATTTTGGCGAACATTCCTTGAATTTGTGCCACCCAGTACCAACTTATAAAGCTGATATCTCTTCATTGCAGATACCTTTATTCGTTTAATAAACTATTTTGACTTTTATGTTAATCGTGTTAGTCGAGGTTTCAACGTCTTTGCGGTCGGGTCGCCCGATAACTGCTCCGTTCGTGTGCCAGGGGAGATCACACCAGATGGGCACTACTCCGAATAACTGCCCCGAATTGTCTAGGTCAATAGCAGGACCTCAATCGTTTGACCTGCATCCATAACCCCTGACTTGTTTGGGTGTTAGGGCTAACATCATGCCAGACCGCCTCTATTTCCCCATGCCATTTTAGGCTGGACCGACCTAGGAGCTGCTGTCAATTTTGAAACAAAAACAAAAATTTGCCTTGATGCGAATGTGTACCATAGACCCTCGAGCTGGCAGGCCAGCTTCTAGCCACTACTTGCAGTCGTTTTCCTTCCGACTTGAGATACAGTTGATAGCTGTTTCCGTCTGAGGGTTGAATGCTTACGTTCCCTGTGTGGGTGTCAGGTCCCAGTGGGTTGGAGAAGTTTGCTGAGATCGGATGAATTGGGTAGAAAGGCGCAGATATTTGTGCGTTTTCAGCGCGCTGACCTCCCTTTTTAGAGCGGATACAGTAGTTCCGTGGATTGTCATTTAGGTCGTTTGAGCTATATAGTACCGGTCTGTATGTATCGGAGTTAGGTTACTGGAGAGGCTGTCTGTTGGATAGCTTACATGCTGTTCGAGTTTTCCTTGTCTAATGTCAAGTCCAGTTATGTTTTGCCCTCCCCATCCCTAACTCCCCATACACAATTGTCCTTTGTGGTATTTACACCCCATGGGGGTGGGGGGGGGGGGCAGTGATGTTGCGGCTAGATGCTCCCCTGAGGTTCCGAAGGTCATAGGTTCGAGTCCGAACCATATTTTTTTTTTCTTTTTTTTTTTCTTTCAAAAATGACCTTGACTTCTAGGCTTACCCAGCCTTGAGTGGGTACCAGGTGGAGTTTTGGGAAGGCGGCCGGTGTGATTTGCCCTTCGGTGTATAATATATATACTTTATGACCAATACGCCAAAAGGCGCGAAAAAGCGTACATTACTTCTAACACTCCATGGATAATTATGAGACTAGGGCAAATCACAGAAATCCGGCTCAGCCCTATACTACAGTTGTACTGGGGCGCTTAACGGTTACGAAGTCACCTGTAGCCCACTATAGTTGAGTAATTGAGTATCCAGTTATCACGTTAGGGATTGTGACGGTGGACAGACATATCTTTATAGGTAAACATATAGTCGGGAATGTCAAATGTACACTTCAAACTGAAGCATGCTTCGGCTATATGTGTCGTGCTTACTGTACATTACACACCTAATACATACATCGACTGTATGTTACACATGTAAATTGCGTGTGTTAAATTATAACTAGGCCTGCAAGAATTCAAAGTCGCTGTCCTTGACCCTATCTCGAATTAGCATCAGGCTATAGCATGTGTATATTTCCCTTGCGCAGGGTTAACAGCTAAAAGTACAGGCGTCCAGAATCGAGAACAG